CATTCAGGTCTCCCTTATATTCTTCAGATAAAAGCATTCCATTTTCAGCCACATTTAACCTCATAGTACCCACATCTTGTTCTCTATTATTGAGATTAGCATCTGCGAAATTACAGCCAGTAGTTCTCTTCTTACTTTTAGAGGCCTTGGGCAGGCCACGCCTCTCCTTCTTGAATATCCTCTCTCCATTACTGGTAGCTATTCCATTGCCCCCACCTTCTCCAGCTACAAATTTTCTCTTTCCATCATCTTCCTTCCTGACTGCATCCATGTCTCCATCATTAGTATTAGTACCACTCGAATGGCCTGGTATAACTTTGCTCTTGGTCCTTGAACCTCTGGATCTGCCACGCCTGTCCTTCTTCTTGACTATCATCCCTTGTTCCTCATTCAGAATTACTCCATTTTGACCAGCCATTGTGATTCTTTTCTCATTCTCGCCTTGGCACATAACATCTACTTCATGTCCACTAGTAGCATTACTCATATAGCCTAATGTGATTTTCTTCTTAGTCTTTGAACCCCTGGGCCGACCTCGCTTGACTATATGTTTTTTGTAACCCACAGCAAAATCGTCCAGTTTCCCAGCATTTTCTGCAGGCATAAAAATCTTCCCTTTATTGCTATCAATATCCTTGCTTCCACCTCCATTGCAACTAGGAACAGTCAGACGACCTATCAAGACTTTCTTCTTGTTCCTGGAGCCCCTGGGCCGACCAATTTTCTTCTTGACAATCTCATTGTGTCCAGAAACTTGATTTGCGCTTATTCCAAAATCACCAGCTGTACAGATTTCCTTCTCAACAACATCTGTATTTCTCTTTCCAACACTAGTATCATCTATTAGCAACACTACCCCCGTTTCATTACCAGTCACAGTTTTCTTCTCACTCTTTGAACCCTTTGGTCTTCCTCGACCTCGCTTCTTGATACTCCCTTCTTCTCCACAATCCTTCCTCCTTTCCTCGCCTTCCTTCTTGGTTCTCCCTACCTGATGCTCCCTGTTTTGTTCCATATTTTTCTTTTTGCTCTTAGAACCTTTGTGCCTTTGTCCAACATTCTTCTTCTTCATAAGCATCGCATCACTGTCATTGCCTATGCCAGCTGCACTTGGTGATTCCCCATTTTCTCCAACCTTTCTCTTCTTATTCTTGGAGCCCTTCGGCCTGCCTAGTCGCTTATTCTTCTTCTTCATAAGAACCCCTTCTCCACTGCCATCCATCATGCTAACTGTACCTGAAATTCCCACATTTTCTTCACCACTTCTTCTGTTATTCTTGTAACCCTTCGGCCTGCCTAGTCGCATCTTCTTCTTCATAAGAAACCCTTCTCTACTGCCATCCATCACACTAACTGTACCTGAAATTCCCCCATCTTCTTCACCACTTCTCCTGCTATTCTTGGAACCCTTTGGCCTGTCTAGTCTATTCTTCTTCTTCATAAGAACCCTTTGTCCACTGCCATCCATCACACTAGCTGTACCTGAAGTTCCCACATTTTCTTCCACACTTCTCCTGTTATTCTTAGAACCCTTTGGTCTTCCCCTTTTCTTTGAACTTATCACACTAGCATTAGCTACTACATTTTCCATAAAAGGTACCAAAACTTGCTGACCATCAAAACTCCCCTGCTTCTGATTCAGGTCTTCCATAACCTTGTCATCAACCATCAAAATTGAATCTTGACAGGAAACAGAACAACCCTCCAACCTACTGATGAACAAAACTCAAACTTTGGTCATCATTCGACACCCTTTTCATGTCTTTTCTTGATTTTGTTTCTGTATTTAACATAAACCCTAAAAAAATCACCTACAGAATTCAACTTCCCAAGAAAAGAGAACCCCACAAAAAAAAAATCAGCCTTTGAAGAAACTAATGAATAAAGGGACCACAAGGGGAATTCATAGAGGAGTAATGCCGCTGTTTCCTTTGGAACAAGACCAAGGACTCACCTCTCCTTTGGACTTCTGTTTGCTTTGTTCTTCTTTCCTTTTTTTTCAGCTGCCGAATAGAGTGTTGAAGCATACAATAGCAAAACTGACTGACTAATTGGGGTAGCTGACTTTATCGATTTGTTGTTTCTGGGAAAAGATTACTAGTGAAGCCATTGGACTAAAATTGGGAAGCCTGGATTTGTTGAGTTGTTTTACTCCAATGTACATGTTCTCATGGATTTTTAAAAACATTGTATCATCAAGTTAATGTGATATGATTTCAATTTGTGTATAAGTAAGGTAAGTAATATTTATGATTGGTTTTGACTTTTAATTTCGAGAAATATGACTCCAATTTTGTCGTTTATATGAAATGAGTGGGAAGAAGTGAATCGGTATAAATGATAATTATGATTATGTTTGACTTAACTTTGAGAAATATAACTTCAATTTTGTCGTATTCTACGAAATGAGTGAAAAAAAGTAGATTGACGTAAGTGCTACTTATTACATGTTTGACTTCAACTTCGAGAAATATGACTCCAATTTTGTCGTTTATATGAAATGAGTGGGAAGAAGTGAATCGGTATAAATGATAATTATGATTATGTTTGACTTAACTTTGAGAAATATAACTTCAATTTTGTCGTATTCTACGAAATGAGTGAAAAAAAGTAGATTGACGTAAGTGCTACTTATTACATGTTTGACTTCAACTTCGAGAAATATGACTCTAATTTTATCGTATTATGTAAAATGAATGGGAAGAAGTAGATCAATATAAGTGACAGTTATGATTTGTTTGACTTTGACGTCGAGCAATATGAATTCAATTTTAACGTATTATACGAAATGAGTGGGAAGAAGTGGATCAAATTAATGTGATACGATTTTCATTTGTGTAAGGTAAGTAATATTTATGATTGGTCTAACTTTTAATTTCGAGAAATACGACTCCAATTTTGTCGTTTATATGAAATGAGTGGGAAGAAGTAAATCAATATAAATGATAACTATGATTCTGTTTGACTTAACTTCGAGAAATATAACTTCAATTTTGTTGTATTATACGAAATGAGTGAAAAAAAGTAGATTGACGTAAGTGCTACTTATTATTTGTTTGACTTCAACTTTGAAGAAATATGACTCTAATTTTATCGTATTATGTGAAATGAATGGGAGGAAGTAGATCAAAGTAAGTGACCGTTAGGATTTGTTTGACTTACCTTCAAGAAATATAACTTCAATTTTATCGTATTATACGAAATGAGTGAAAAAAGTAGATTGACGTAAGTGCTACTTATTATTTGTTTGACTTCAACTTCGAGAAATACGACTCTTATTTTATCGTATTATGTAAAATGAATGGGAAGAAGTAGATCAATGTAAGTGACCGTTATGATTTGTTTGACTTTGACTTCGAGAAATATGACTTCAATTTTATCGTATTATACGAAACGAGTGGAAAGAAGTGAATCAAATTAATGTGATACTCAATTTGTGTGTAAGGTAAGTAATAATTATGATAATTATGATTTTGTTTGACTTAACTTCGAGAAATATGACTCTAATTTTGTCGTATTATATGAAATGGTGAGAAAAAGTGGATAGATATAAGTGATAATTATAATTTGTTTGACTTCAACTTCGAGAGATATGACTCTAATTTTATTGTATTATACAAAATGAGTGAGAAGAATAGGATCAAATTAATGTCATATGATTTAAATTTGTGTAATGTCAAATTAAATTTGTGTATAAGAGTAATATATATGAATATTGTATGTAATGTAATTAAGTAATTCTTTAAGTTATTCACTATTTTGATATACTTTTATGAATATTGAATATGATTTTTTTTGAAAATTCATATTAAATATCATAATGTTGAACTCATACTTCTAGATTTTCTAGTAATTTAATATTTACCAAAGTATATACATCCTTACATTTTTCGTCCAAAAAAGTCATCTATCATTTGCTAAGTAAAAATCATTTTGCAGTTGATTGAAAATAACAATACATATTTATTGGTGAAGATTGAAGACTTTGCTTTAATATTTGAAAAATGTAAATATATTTAATTTATGCCCAAGAATAGCCACTTAGTGGTTCCATGGTCTAGTGGTCAGGACATTGGACTCTGAATCCAGTAACCCGAGTTCAAGTCTCGGTGGAACCTGTGTTTTTTTTTGCTTTGCAAATAATATTGTCCATATTTCTATTTGTTCGGAATAATTTTACTAAATCACTCCAAAATTGTTCATTATCTCTTGATTTTCCAAACTTGACAAGTAAAATTGACCAACTATTTTTAATATACTTGCAAGTAAAAATGTATGGAGGAAGTTATCGAGTTGGTCGTACTTGAAAATACAATGTGTAGACATTACTTGAAAATTCATGAGTTTTTATTTACTACCATGTGATGATAATAACCTCAAACTTTTTTTTGGCATGAGCTAAGTTAATCCTTGTGTAATATAAGAAGGTTATATGCTACCTCCAAATTTGCTAGCAAATTTTAATTGGACACTCAACTACAACTTACTCCAATTTAGCATCTAAACATATGATTAAACATTTTTATTACATGCTTCAAATTCAAAATTTTAAAAATCATTTTAGCGCGATCTCAAAGGACCATTACTTAAAATTAAAATTTCAAGTAAAGATGCAAATTCTCCATTGCTAATATTATCAATATGCATAGTACATGTAATTCCTCACATGTATGTAAGGTAGTGGTAATAAAAAGAGAACCATCATTTACTCTATGTCCAATTTGGCCTTTTCTCATCTTAGAAGAGAAAAAAGATGGAGGTGTCCATCATTTTCATATTCTTCATTTGCTATTGGAATTGTGACGACATAAGAATGAGAAATCAGATATATGAATCCTCACTTTTCTACATTCATATTCATCTCAAACCAATATTATACAAAACAAAATTAAACTAAATAGTACTACGTACTATATATAAGTAATCTATATATAAGCGAACATAAGCATAGCCAGTTTGTCAACTGAAACTAGATATCAATAACCAATAGCAGGGGGATGCAAGTTGCAATACGGTTCAACCTTAAGCGTCAAGCGAAAGTTCAATAACTAATACGATGCTGTACATTGATAGAACATTTTCTGTATACCTGTTCCGAATGAACGAACTACCACTCATCTATGAAAATTCACCTAAACATGAATCAGATTGCTAATGCTGAAATTGACCCAAACAAGGATGACATTGAACTGCACATATTATCCAAGAGGTCATTATCCAGAATATAAATTAAAAGCTGGAGCTTTAAATCAACTGATAAATAAAACATCCATCTGTCTAATGTAGAAATGGTCTCAAAGTTCCCACACAATCATGATATCGGAGTTGACCGCTCCCCTCCTGCTGGAAACTGAGGCTGCATACACGGAGACAATAGGTCATACATTGAGAGCAAAACTTCATAAGGTACAACTGGTAAATAATACATCCTGTCAAAAAAGAAGTGTAAACTGATATCCTCTTTTTCATTTTATAAGGACGGATAACTTTATTTACAAAGAATAGCAGTGAAGGAGAAATATGTAGGTAGAGTATTGACTACCTTTCTTACATCTCTGTAATGGATTCTATGAAGAGTAAAAATCATCTTGCATTTTATGCCTAAAAGCTTACAACTATATGGAATCTACAAGGTCCATCAGAGTCAAAATCATATTATACATCTGTCTAGCATGAGGGGTGTAAGATAGACTAGGTGCTTTTTCTCCACTCGTGAAGGTTCACATCTAGCTATCAAGGATAAGGAAGCAAAGGTAGAGTCCTTTAATAATATGTCTGTCATTTTGTGCGACTATCTCCACTATAGAAAGAAAAAAAAGGAAAGAATAACATTTTCAGCACATTTATACAAATAAGCCTTTATCAGTATTATAATAGCATAAGTAGTCAACGTTTTCAAACAGGGTTTTTGCCATACATGCAAACATAATTAATAAAACCAAACAAAATAGTTGGCATAGCGCGCTTAAGCCCTGAAACGCTCAACACTGTCATCATCAAGATTCTAAGGCATACTTTTCCTTGTCAATGAACCTCTTATGAAGAGGTGACACTAAACAATTGATATTTCACTTTATCGTTTTTTTTTTTCAATTTCTTTGTTTTTTGATTTGTTATTCTACTTATAATTATTAGTCTTGAACTAAGCATATATATAATTATATTTTTTTCTCTCTTTGCAGCATTTTGCATTAAAGCCCATGCTCTATTTGCACTTTGCACTAAAGCGCCAATGGACCTTAGAACTTTTTTGCGCTTTTTGCTTTTGATAACATTGAGCATAGATAGGAGTCTATCTTCAGCAGGCATCATAATAGATCTCCACTAAAAGAAGACAAAGAACACCCTAAATTAAAACACACTACTTTGCATCCACATTAATTTAAGCCTTCTAAAAAAACAAATAGTCGACATACTCTTCTATTCTAGGAATACGAAGCTATGGGGGCGACCCATGCAGTTAGTTCCCTTCATTTGTGGAGGAGAGACTCATTCCTCTCTTCCACACCGCGAGTGTGGTTCCAAGTTTGTTGCATCATATTTGCAATGATCTCAGAACTCTGATTGGAGCTTCTCCTCTTCAACTCTCGAGATATCTTGAAGTCCTAGAAAAGAATCCATGGCTACACTCAATTTGTTTTGAGTTAGCTAGTTAAGGTGAAAGGAATTTAGGAAATGAATAGTAGGGAACGTCCTTGATAGGAATTCTGAGTAACTTTCTGGGTGAAGCGTACTTCCTGTAGGAGCCCCTTGGACCTTAGCCTCTTAAGGGTAAAAGTGGTGGCCTAGTTGTCCCCACCCTCCCTTATCATAAGTGTATGTGGGAGCAGTTTGTGCTAGCGTTTTGGTGCTTGCCTTATAGTTCTCAGTCCTCTTAGGCCAAGATGCCTTTTAAAAAGATTTTCTCCCGAATCAAAACAAGACCGACTATACTAATTTTTCCAATCAAGTGCGGATGGGATTCCCCAATAGATTCTACATATTCGGCATTTGCATTCTACGGTAAAAAGCTAGGTTTCACAAACATGTACAGTTTATACTATGTAGTATCGCTATGTTCGTCATTTGAAACAACTCCAATTTCTTCTTTACAAACAGTCCAGGTAATACACCAGGGACCTGTTATCCAGATCTTCCTAAATTGCATCCTTAATATACTTGGTCTTCATTTGCCCCCAAGGCCTAGCTCAAGTGGCAAAAGGTGGAGGATTTGTGGCTTAGGTCGCAGGTTCAAGCCCCACACCATGCAAAGCGATTGCAATGATCTCAGAACTCTGATTGGAGCTTCTCCTCTTCAACTCTCGAGATATCTTGAAGTCCTAGAAAAGAATCCATGGCTACACTCAATTTGTTTTGAGTTAGCTAGTTAAGGTGAAAGGAATTTAGGAAATGAATAGTAGGGAACGTCCTTGATAGGAATTCTGAGTAACTTTCTGGGTGAAGCGTACTTCCTGTAGGAGCCCCTTGGACCTTAGCCTCTTAAGGGTAAAAGTGGTGGCCTAGTTGTCCCCACCCTCCCTTATCATAAGTGTATGTGGGAGCAGTTTGTGCTAGCGTTTTGGTGCTTGCCTTATAGTTCTCAGTCCTCTTAGGCCAAGATGCCTTTTAAAAAGATTTTCTCCCGAATCAAAACAAGACCGACTATACTAATTTTTCCAATCAAGTGCGGATGGGATTCCCCAATAGATTCTACATATTCGGCATTTGCATTCTACGGTAAAAAGCTAGGTTTCACAAACATGTACAGTTTATACTATGTAGTATCGCTATGTTCGTCATTTGAAACAACTCCAATTTCTTCTTTACAAACAGTCCAGTTGATATACAAGGAACCTGTTATCCATATCTTCCTAAATTGCATCCTTAATCTACTCTTGGTCTTCATTTGGTACCCTTAACATATATTCCACTCATTTCTTCAATATTTTCTCTCTCATGAATTCTTACCACTATTACTAGGAGATCAAAACATTATGCAGAAAACAGTCTTTCGACCCTAAAAGCTTAGAACAGACACATTTGATGCAGGGATCAGGGAAAACATCGCAACAGATTGACTATTTAATACCAGAACTACTAAATTTTCTATTTATCCATGTCTCCTCTTGTAGCAAATTACTTAAGCAGAAGTGCACATAAATTAGACCATTCTTTTACAGTAAGTTCTGCAAAAGATCCTTCCCAAGCTCATCATTTGTCTTGCCTAACAATGTCCAAAATTTCAGATATTGCTACTAGAGGACTCCAAATACAAGGAAGCAATTATGTAGATGCCAAACCTACGTGCACGAAGTTTTGCACTTGTCATCCCTGACTAGCTTTTAATGTTGGGTGGAAGGACATTGCTAACAAGATAGGCAGATTCATAAATGCCTCTCTACCATCGACATTCAATTCAAGATTGACAAACAAAGACATTCCCTATTCAGAGGCTATCAGGAACAGTAAGTGGGGAAATAGGAAATTTATTAGCACCTCCAAACGAGAAGGAACTGGTCAGTTGAAGGAAAGAGCCATTCACATTCACTTTTATCAAAAAAAAAAAAGAGCCATTCACATTCACAAACTAGAAGCAAATGTGTTCTCTCTCATCTGTAATGAGGTTAGAATATGAGCATCTTCAATTGAAAAAGGACAGTTTTACTGCATCCAAGAAAAAAACTTGTCCTTTTCTCATGAAATTGTTGTAGCAAAAATTACCAATGGTTTATGAAAAATGTAACTTCTTTGTTAGTTAAAGTTCTTTTTGGATATTTGGAAATGATTGTTTATAGGCTACTCCCTTTCCTAGCAAGATTGTTGTGCAATCTTTTTTTGTAGACTTGAGGCAAGGTTCCATGTCCCCCTCTTGTCATTATACATATTTTTGCTATTTAATTAACATGGTCGGGGTTCAAGCAAAACCCCCCACACCTCAGACCCACAACCTAAGGTGATGGCTTAAACTAAAAAAAAAAAAAGCACTTCACTTCCTATATATCTACATCTTTGGACTGCTCAAAGAGAACATCTGTAACAGGCATACCAAAGCAAGCACAAGCTTTAAAGTTCTAAAAAGGGAAAAAAAAATAGCATCGCTTTCCATGCAGAGTTCTCTGCTAGCATGATAAAATTTAAGCATAGCTTGCAGTATCAAATGACATCGTCAATCAATTAAAGCAGGATGTAAGGGCAACAAGGATCAAGTTAGAAATCCTCAAGCTACCTAAACCAACCCAGAGATGACTTAATTTATATTTGCTTGGCATCAACAACACAAATTATTACGAATAAATCATTGATTAGCATGCATAGTCTAACTAGAAACACTAAAAATAATTACCGCTGAAACATAGGATGAGCTTTGTGCAAGAAACTTGACAAACTCTTGTTTCTTTATTTCAAAGTTGAACTTTGCATGGTCCAGTAATGTTTGTTCTCTCTGTAAATCATCCACAAATCTTGCCCTTTTCCACTTCAGCTCCTTCATCCGGTTCTCAGTCTCATAATAGTTTTCAGGTACATTCGGCCTTCCAGAACTCTTTGGAAATTTGATCTTGACTTCCCTTAAATGTACACGAGAAAGAAAGAATCCAAATGATTCAGTGATGCAATACAAACAAACAACATATCCAGTGAAATCCCACAAGTGGGGTCTGGGCAGCCTTACCCCTACCTTGGGAAGGTAGAGAGGATAATGATTCAGTGAAGCAATCAACAAGAAAAATAAATTGTGCTGCAAATTCAAATACATCTAATATATAAACATACAAACTCAAATACATATGATATATGAACATAGGAGTAGGATTAAAAACAACTCCTAGGAGACAGTGAGATTAAGATATCAATAATTGACAAACATCATTTAGGTAAATCTAAAATGTGTTAAGACTCTGAACGTGATAAATCCTGAAAACTCCTCCACCAGAATATAATATTATAGATAATCTTTCCTGATTAACTTCTAAAATGTGTTGTAGACACACACACACCCCCCCCCCCCCCCCCCCACACACCTTTTTTAAAAGAATAATGATTCATTAAAGATGCCAATGGTCTGTTAATCATTTTGAAATGAATATAGAAAGAGAAGAACATGATTTCATACACCATTCTATGCAGATTGAAAGAGGAAGTTAGTGAAAGGTCGAACTACTAAACTCCACAAAGGTCAAGCAACATGGTCACAAAATAACATCAGATTTCCAATTAAGGCGCAAAGTTAGAGATCAAGTATATTACTTGATACTCAAAAAGGAACAAGTTGATAGGCAATCAATTCTTTAGGGTATCTTCACAAACAAGTTGAACTATGAAAGAAAGAAAAATTTATGAATGAAATAATGAAACTATTTAAGACAAGCCTCTTTACCTCTCGCCTAGGGAAGATATACCACCACTCTTTATGATCCCACCATCCAACGATATGGCTCCATCAGCTATAAGAGGTAGCGCCTGCAGCATGTCAGCCCTTGTTTTGTATACTTGCAAATGTGAGAAGAGTCTATAGAAGAGGGTCTCTCTCAGGCCATGACCAGTGCTTGTAACACAATATAAGTTCGCAGTGTCAATATTGATCATATTGACAGCAAAACCAAGAAAACCAGGAGGAGTTTCCTCATTGAGGTATCTTGGCTTCTTTATGTCAAGCCTCCTCTGAGGGTCATCAGCAATAAATGTGCCAGCGTATGGTCTAAAACGATAATTCAAAAAGGAAAAAGAAAAGAGAGTAAGGAAGTGCTAAAGAATATGAGTAGCATTTGCAAGAAGAGATCATCATAATATCAAACCTTAAGTTCTCAAGACAGATTACGAGATATCGATCATCCAAAGGTTTCCCAATTGAAGCTCCAAGTCCATGAAGACCAGAACTTTTATTTATAAGACCTTCCTTATCATATGTTTCCAGTGCTTTATGTCCATCACGCGTCTTGCAAACAACTCCTAACATGGTTTCGAGCCCAAGATAATCCGAGAGAGTTCTGAATTTCAAGATTATGATACAAATGTCAGTCATAATACAGTGAACTTCCATTATCTGCCTACTTCTTTGGTAAAGATATGGCACCTGGGCCTAACTCAACCCCAAAATATAGCTTATGAGGGAGGGATTACCCAAGTCCATATATGCAAACTACACATCCATAGTGGGACTTTAACCCACTCTAACATTCTTTAAACGCCATGCTTCTTTCATCTTCTATTCTCAAAATGCAGAGAGAACTATTCAGATTCTAACTCCTACGTCACGGCAAGACCTAATTTAAGCAAAGAGATGCTCATTATCATACACAAAAGTGTCTCACATGCTAAGGGGTTATTCCCAGGTCAATTTTACAAAGTGAAGGTTCAAAAGTTTTAATAACAAAAAGATACCCAGTGAGGGGATAAAAGTAAAATATAGATATCATTACTATTATTAATAATAATAATAATATAGTTGGTACGACCACCAAGCCTATCTCGTAAGAAAGTGAGAGATGTTCAACTACCAACGAACCTTCTACCCTAATTCGCGATCTCCAAACCCTAATCACTCTAAGTATACCTGTGACGGATTCAAAGACCAGAACATATCAAACTTTTTGTCTTAAGTCTTCACCTTTATGCACAGTTGTAAAAAAGTCTTCACCTTCGTGCACAGTTTCAAAAAAGTCTTCACCTTCATGCAGCCACATACTGTCATCTTGATTGGGACAGAGTGAACAAATGCTATAATTTCTTGAACATGTCTATAGAGAGCTAGCATAGAAAGTGGACTCATAGAACAGCTTATTCCTTTTTCTACTTTATCTATTTTTTGTAGAGAACACCAGCAATTACTGGATGCTATGTTAAACTAATCTGTTGAGATTATCTTTTTTTTGGTAAAACTAACCTGCTGAGATTATCATCATCAACCTTCCCAAGCAAAGCAACAATTCCTATCATGTCCTTCATAAATGGAATATGAGTAATCTGAGTTCCAGTACGCTTTTGCAGCTGGACACAGATGGAAGCTGCAGATTTATCAAAACTTAAGATTTGTTCAATGGTCTCCTCCTCATTCTGCCCATTGGAAGATTCCTTATTTTCAGAACCAGTTTCACTTGCTGAATGAGTCTTGCCAAGAACAACTACAATACACCACAAGCACAAGGAATCAAAATTGGGGAACAGTGCAAGGCATATGCAAAAAGGGAAAGAAAAACTGTTAAAATGAATATTATAGTCTACATGGAGTGCTTTTAAAAAGGCAATACACAACATTAAACCCATGAACAATATATTAGGCCTCTGTTACTCAAACAAGCCGATGGCTGATATTTTGTGGTACTGGTACAGGCATCACAAAATCCATATTTACTTGAAATGACAAATACGTCCCTTGATATGAAAATCTTGCAATGTTTGATTGTTTCCTTCCCATAAAGACAGAGTACAAGCATTATGTTCTAGGATACTGAAAAACAAAATAGCTACAGTAACCTTCTAAAATTTTGTACATGCAATTTGCAGCACACCTAATTAACTTGAAAAGAAGTAAACAGTACCTCGTATATCCAAAATTGAATCATCCAACCTGTTCTTCTGAGCCTTCAAGAATTTGACATTATCTTCATGGTGTTTAATTTTAAGACCAATCTCCTGCATTGCATCCTCAAGTTTCTGCCAGAAGTAAATGACAGAGTCATGAAATTGACCCATCTACTACACAATATATTATCATGTGCATTATCATGATATCATCTCAAAGACGGATATAAGTACACATATCTATACCTCTTATCAAGACTATTGTGCGTAATACATCCATGAATGAAATAAAATAAACTAGGCAGATATCTTTCATAATCTTAACAACCTTGGAATTGCAGATAACTGCCTCAGCAGATCCATTTTGCATTGGGTCACGATTGGCGGCAAAAACGGGGGAATTAATCTGGCCTCCTTGATTGAGCGATGGATCATGCACAACTAATGCCTTAGGACTGATTGGCAGCTGGAAAAGAAACGTAAAAGCAAACATCAGTTTATTAGAATTGCTTATTAAGAAAAGATTCAACAAGTGTCTATTTTAAGGTCCTAGAGTTCTCACCATATATACAGTGTAACAAGTAATAGTAAAGCAGAAATCGTACTTGCCAATATTTTTTATCTTTGTTTCATTTAGGAGGAACATAAAATATACTTTCCTTCTGAAAATATATAATGAAGGTTGAACAAAGATATCAATGGTGTCGTTGATAGTGATAGTTCAAAGCCAGAGGGAGCTAACGCAAAATAATGACGAGAAGGAACAAGAGAAACAAGACAAGGGAGAAATCTAGGATCATAACGGGAATATGATACATTATGAGAAAGAGGATAAATTTGAGGATGGTATCAATGAAAACAATCCTGATGTTGAACCATCAGAGGAGAAACCCACCTGAGTAACTGGCAGAAGAGTTCAAGAAGGCATGAGTAGAGCATAAGAACAGGAGAATGAAGAGACACAATCAAATACATCAGACACATCAATAGTCAAGACAAAGAGAAGGGGATACAGGAGAGATCACAAAACTCTGATCCAGAAACATATATGGACAAAGGCCAGATAGCTGCTAAGAATTTTGAAACAAGGGGGGTAAATGGGGAAGACAACAAGGAGGATCAAATAGATATTGGAGATGATGATGAAGTGACAGTGTAAAACAATACAAGCATACAAAAGGAAGAGGCCAGAAACAACAGGGTCGATCACTTAGACACACCTAAAATGCAAGGAAAGAAAACAGACAAACAAAAGCAACCAGAGATAAGAGTGTGCCTCCTAAGCCAGCAAGGAGTGTACAAGCAAACAAGGTTTGCAGGTGCCAAAGCTACTCACCAATGAATAATTCACTAATATTGAATATAAGGTTGGTAAAAACTCAACATGCCTTTGAAAGAGTTGCTGTGATGAATAGACAAAAACACTTCAACTTTATAGTTCTGATGGAGCCTTTTAAACATGTTAGACACGTAGTACAGACAGTGGTTAATAATGGGAACAAAAAGGCATAATATCAATGGGAAAATCTAGTTTTTTGTGATAGATGAATTTCAAGTTAAAATAATGATGGACACGGACCAGGTATTAACATTACAATTGACTCAGATTACAGAAATATGCTAGTAATGACAGAGATAGTAGAATAGAACTTTGGGATGCACTTTATGATCAATCTACTCAAATACGAACTCCTTGGTTAGTAGGGGAAGATTTTAATGTGATTGTGGATGAATATCAGAAGTTTGGTGGGCTGAAACTGAAGACTTCTTGCTGCCTAACTGAATGTCAATTATCAGATACGGGATTCACTTCACTGGTAGCATGCTCACTTGTTTGAATGGTAGATCAGATGAAACTTGCATTTCTAAAAGACTGGATAAATGTTTGCGTAATCAGGTATGAGTATGTTTCCTAACCTGGAAGTGGCACATTTAATTAAACAAGGATCTAATCATGCACCTCTCTTAACACATTACAAAGAGGATAGTAGAGTAATTAAGAAATCTTTCAGATTTCATAATTTTTTGGGTGGAATATGAGACATTCTGGGAGGTAGTCAGACAAAATTGGTCAGGGAACTTTGGTCCAGACTCTATGGTTATTGTACATAATAATTTGAAGAAGGTCAGTAAGGCATTGCCTAAAAGGAGTAGCAATACATATGGTGACATACTCAAACAGATAGCAAACTCTAGAAGTAGTAGTTAAGGTCCATGAGCCGGAATTTGAACAAAATCCTACCCATGGAAACAGGAAGAGGCTACAAAAATGTACAAGCTGAAGTGCTGAACTGATAAAATTCTATGATATGGTGGAAAAGTTTTGGAAGCAAAAAACTGGAATGCAGTGGTTTAAAAATGGTGAATAGGAACACCAAGTTCTTTCATTCTCATGTAACTGATAAGAGAAATAAACTACAACTCAAGAAGATTAAAGATCCTAATGAGAACTTGCTGGATAAGGAGGAGGATATCATGCAGGAGGCTATAACGTTTTACACAGATCAATTGTTGAGGATCACATTCCAACAAACTTTGAGATGATACTGAATCATATACCTCAACTGATTAATGCAGAACTGAATAATTAGATTCATGAAATTCCAGAGATAGAAGGTGTGAAGAGTTGTTTTAGTCTAAATGTAGATAGTTCAGGTGGTCCACATGGTTTCACTGGGAAGCTCTACCGATACTGTTCGGACATAATTGAAACAGATGTGCTAACAATGGTGCATTTTTTCTTCTGTGACATGAATTACCAGGACATGTCACTGTCACATGCATAAATCTGGTGTTATTGCCCAAAATGGATATTGTGACCTTTTTTTTGATAAGATAAGTGGTATTAATAACAGCATCAAGAAGATACAAAATTTACAAGATATGGCATTTGAGCTTACAAAAAAATCTCTGGCTAACTATACAAACTATCTAAGCCAGAGCTAATGAGTTAGTAAAATCCTGAAGTTGTTCTGCATTAACAGCATGATACAAGTTGGTCCAACTAAACAAATTTTCAGTGCACCTAGTCTTCAAAATGCCTAAAGCAGTTGACTCTCCATCAAAACATCTCTTGTTCCTCTCTAACCAAATACACCAAAAAATACAAGCAGGTATCATAATCCAGATCTTCTTGATGGCTTTGTCAACTTTCCATAGACTCCAACTCTCATATGCATCCTTAACAGTGAGGGGTGTGGTCCAATTGATGCCAGAGAGACAAAAAAACATGCTCCATAATTCTGAGGCCACCTCACAATGAAGAAGAAGGTGTCTAGGGGTTTCAGCCTCTTTTTTGCACATATAGCATCTGTTTGGGAATTGGATTTTTCTTTTCTTTATGTTGTCTTGGGTGAGACATGCCTCATATAGAGCTATCCAGGTAAAAAAAACTACCTTAGGTGGTAGCTTGGTCCTCCAAATGAGTTTCCAGGGCCAGTTAGCTATCACGGGGTTTCTAGAGCACAACTGTTGATACCCTTCCTTGACTGTATAAACTCCTTTCTGGTGTCCCCATTTGAGCTTATCAGCTGCCTGGAGATTAATGTGACGATGTTGTAGTCTAGCAAAAAGGTCTACCAGATCATTCACTTCCCAATCGTGCATATTTCTTCTAAATCTTAGATCCCAATTGATCCCTTCTCTATTAGCAGAAATAATAGAATTGGGATCTTGAGCAATTCTAAACAGATCTGGGAAATCCTCCTGAAGAGTGGTATTTCCAAGCCATTTGTCTGTCCAAAATTTTAGGAGTACACCATTGCCCAATTCAAAGTAAGCGTTCTGATCAAATGTATCCCACAACATCCTAATACTCTTCCACAGTCCCACTCCGTAAGGAAGTGTAGTAATATTTGAGCACCATTGATTCAGCCTTCCATGCTTAGCTATGATGACCTCTTTCCAGAGCCCTGCGTCTTCCAAGTTGTATCTCCAAAGCCACTTCATCATCATACTTTTGTTGTGGGCTGCAAGGTTCTTAATGCCAAGACCTCCTTGGTATTTTGGTTGTGTGACCTTCTCCCATTTGATGAGATGAAATTTGTGTTTCTCTGTGTTGCCTTTCCAGAGGAAGTCCCTTCTTATCTTGTCAATCTGTTCTATAACCTCACTTGGCATTGGGAGCAAGGCCATGTAATAAGTAGGTAAACTGTCTAGAACACTATTGATAAGTGTTACTCTACCACCAAAGGAGAGGTATTGCATTTGCCATGTTGCCAACCTCTTCTCAAACTTTCCAATAACCCCTGTCCAAATTTCAGTGGATTTATGCTGAGCACCCAAAGGAAGACCCAAATAAGTGGAAGGAAATGAGCCAATGTTGCAGCCCATGATATCAGCCAGCTCCTCCAAATTTAAAACTTCATTAACTGGGTAGATATTGTGACCTTTTCAGATCAGTTTGAGCAACCTCACTCACATGAAAGATTTTCTCCAAGACCATACATGAAAGACTGGTATACCTACTGGCAACAATCATCTCTCCAGCAAGCAGGTTTTATGGAAGGAAGAAGCATAGTTGAGTATATATTATTGGTACAAGAAATTGTGCATGATATTAAGATAAAGGGTAACCCAGCAGTGATAATGCTGAACATGACAAAGCATATGATCGAGTTTCATGGTTGTTCCTGACTAAAGTGCTAAGAAGAATGGTTTTTGGAGATTTGCTAATTGACATGGTATACAGAATAATCTCTAACAATAGGTATTTTATTCTAATGAATGGTAAGCCACAGGGTTTCTTTAAATCTACTAGGGGAGTGAAGCAACTTTATTTATCATAGCTGCTAAATGCATGTCAAGAGCCTTCAACGCCTTACACAAGGATGAGAAGTTCAGAGGATTTGGAATGCCAAAGTGGATCCCATACATCAACCACTTAGCATAGGCTGATGATACTAAAATTTGCACTTCAGCAAAAGAATATTCCTTAAAATTGGTGATGGAAACATTGGCTACATATGAGAAAGTGAGTGGACAGTTGATTAACAAAGGAAAGAGTGCACTGCAGTGTATACACATGAAAACACAAAGGATGAGGTGGTGACATTGGTGAACAAAATTACAAGAATTCCAAGAGAAGTGTTCCCCTGTACATACTTAGGGGTGCTAACCTACTATAGCAGGAGGAAGAATGCACATTACAAAGAAATCACTGATAAAGTGAGTAACAAACTCTTTTCCTGGATAGGAAAATGGCTATTTATTGGTGGGAGAATCACTCTCGTTAAACATATCTTACAAAGCAACCCCATACATTTGTTGTCAGACTGTTGTAAGCTTGTGACTGACCCTCTTGCAGAGGTTATCACAGGATGTTTGCTAAGTTTTTCGGGAGTAATTCAATAAGAAATTCTAGCAAACATTGAACTTCTTGGACTGTGCTATGTCATCCTTATGATGAAGGTGCACTGGGATTTAAAAGCCTACAGGATGTCTCAAAAGCTTTATTTGCTAAATTGTAGCAGGATTAACAGGAAACAAAATACAATTTACAACAAGACCAAATACAGTTGGACAACAGAAAAGATACCAGATAACAAAATGGTAAATTACAATCTGGGTTATACAAATATAACTCTTGATCTTTAACGGCAACGATGTGCTCAGCTCAAGCACCGCAATCAAAGCTCAAAGTGGGAGTGCAGTGCCTCTCCGAGCAGATTTTTCCTAGCACTTTCTAGAATAGAGCTTCTTTCCTTCTGCTTTCATTTGGTTCTGAGTACACTTTCCTTTTTCCTTTACTTTGTTTTGATCATTTAACTTATAAATAAAATAGCCCTGTGGGGCCTCGTCTTTTGAACAAACAAACAAAAAAGAGTAAACCTCTTTGTGAGCATTTTGTGACAGTATTATGTGAGGTTATTCTATCTTCTAAATCTTTCTATTAGAGTGTCAGCTCTTCTTTACTCTTAATAGCCATCACTGAAATAGTGAATTGCTCCTCTCCACTTGTGGATGTAGGTCTGATTGGCCAAACATGTAATACGTTTTGTCCTTCATTGTATATTTCTCTTCCATATTCTTTTTTATAGAAAATGTTATTTCATTATAACAAAAGCACCAACCAAGTGCTGAAAAATGTACAGGTATAGGTGTGTAAAAACCAACAGAATAATCTGTTTCTAATCTTGTAGGGATTCTAAGGTGCAAAGTATTGATTCTGCTTCATTTACAAATTCTTCCTAGCACCAAAAAGATAACAAAAGTGTACAGTTAGAGTTGGTCTGCTGTATGGAGTTTGCTTTGTCTTCAAAACATCTAGAGTTCCTTTCTTTCGCTACAGTCAACCAGAATCCAAGACACTGTGTTCCACCATATTCTGAGTTGTTGTCTTAGTGATAGGGGTGGCAATGGGGCGGTGCGGGGCAGGTTGAGCTTGCCCCGCAAACCGCCCCGCCCCCCATAACATTTTTTTGCATTTTCAACCCACTCAGCCCCGCCCCACTTAATTATTCTCATTTTTATTTGTCTAAATCATGCAATTATAACTTGCCTCAAATTTCAATTCATTTTTTCCCCTATCCAGATACTATTTAATATCGTTACTGTTCTGAGATACTATTTAATTTATAAGAACTTAATAATTTATGTGTTTTAGAAAGAATTTTTTTTTTTGAAAAACCAATCAAAATCAATAAAGATATCAACCATCAAATTTAACACTAAATCAAAGCAATAGTTTTCTCTCATTATCATTCCTAGTTTCAGAAATATTTAATTTGTATCCTATTTTGTCCTTCTTTGTTTCTCTTTTTGCTTATCATTTTGTTACAGTGTACAATGAAATTATAAATATATTTGTGCAGTAAGAGAAAATATGTCAAATTAATCAAATTAAGAAAATAATTTTTTGCTATTTATATGAGTATGTTTATTGTGATTTTTAAATACTATAAGAGTTGTGAACTTGTCTCAAACTAACTACTAACTAGTACCATTCTATTAATATTAGAAGTCTATTAAATATTTAAATTTGAGCACTTAACCTAAATATGACTTCAAATTAATTTTGATTCTATATTTCATTTTTAATTAGTTTCAACTATCATATAACATATTATGTAACCCTTATTCAAGGAAAATGAAGCTATGTTTACAGGGACGGAATTAAGTGAAAGAACCCACAACCTGCCCCGCACCCGCATTATTTCTTTTCAAAAGAGTTTCAAACGCCCCGACCCGGCCCACCCCACATAAAGTCAAACCCGCCCCACCCCGCATAAGACAAAACCCGCTCCACCCAGTTGCCATCCCTACTTAGTGAAGTCATCAGATTTACTTCTTCCTGAGGCTTCCCAGCCCCTGGATCCTCAGTCAAGGATATTTTAACTCATTTTAATTTTTAGTGAATGAAAAGAAAAAGAACTCTGGCTCTAAAAAGGAAAGGGAAGCTAAATATTGAAGAGGCTTGAGGATCGATAAACCCGGGCGATAAAGGAACTGGTGGATTTTATTAGAGACCTTTTCTTTAAAGGAAAAGCATGTCACGGTTTTCACCTCACCGCTCTTGCTTTGTAAAATTTCCATTTCAACTAGATCCTAACATCCTCCTTCCTACGTAATCATGATGTATATTGATATACAGTTGAATATCACAAAAATCTCTAACTAGAACCCTAAATTCCCTGATACCTTAAACTAACAGCCAAATGAACATCGAAGTTGACGAAGAATTTTATCAGAACAGCTGCATGAAGGCTTTATCGGTGCCCATTAGCATTAATTAAGTATTTTTATGGTTTATATCACTTATCCTGAAACTCAATTGACAGAATGAGCATTTCAATTGAGTAGAAAAGTCACTTAATTCACTAAAAAATCGAAGGTAAAACAGAGGGGGAGGGAAGAGGGAAAGAGAGAACCTGAACCTTCTCATTGTCTATCGACATTCTCCGTTGGCCGCCGTCCATCGTTGGGTCGCCGGAGATTCCGAGAAGAGTGAGAGCAGCGCCGTTAGGGGGGGAAGAGTGGAGGAGTTCTGACAGCAAAGTGAATATAGGGCTTCGGAAATGAAGGCGTTTTGGCATTTATTTGGTCATGAAAACTAATAACTCACACTCTACACGTGTACATAATTTTCAATATTTTTGTTAGTATTTTTTTATTTTTTTATTCTAGAAGCGTCAAAAATAGCAAATCATAACTCGTACAATTTGCTTAAGTCTGATTTGATTATTGATATGCTTATTTATTAGTTCATTTAATTTATTTTAGTCCATCAAATTTAGGATCAATATTTAGTTCAAATTAATTCATGATAAAAGTTTTCAAAATAATTTTTCAATACCCTAATTGACCCTTCATATAACATTGTATAACATTTTGTGACTTGAAAGAATGGATGACACGATTTTTGAGATGATTGAATATATTTTAGGTGAGTTCTTTCAGTTTTGAAACTTGAAAAGTTTGACCAAAATCAATATTTGAAGTTAACAAGGTCAATTTCTAGTTTTGATGATTTCACTAGGTTTGAATGATAACTTATGACTCACATGGAAAATTGACATGATTTTCAAGAGGTTCAGAGAAGATTTGGACCCTTTAGCTAGTTTTAGTCTTTTTATAAGTTTAGAGTTGACCACGATAACATTTTGTAAAAACAACCTTAGAATGGTAATTTGATGATTCAAACATGCACAGAATGTGTTTTATCATCGATTTGCACTATTAATTCATATTTGGGAGGTCTCGAACGAATTTGGAGATTTATTCTGCTATACTTGTATCTAGAATTGTTGATTTTATTGTTTTTTGGTGCAGATCAAATCATTCTTCGTTAGGTTGTCCAGTAAGAAAGGCTACTTCACTAATCTTCTTCACCATAGGAGGTAATACGAGAAAGGTGTTAAGACCCAAATAACTGTTGACTATTGAAGATGCTAAAGTACTACCCCAAATCATTTCGATTAAGGTGTATATAACACTCAATGGCCAACGGTCTGTTGCTAATTTTAAATCAAAAGAGTAACAAGACTTCAGTCTTTTAAGTCTTAGATACTACAACAGACGTTCTTGGTTGAATGTACCATCAGTCTTAAGACTTGATAGTACAGTCATAGCCCAAATATGGACGGGATGCAGAAGTCTTTGTTTTATATAATTACATATAGCAAAGATCCTCCGCTTCCCACCACCTTCAATATTCGTGCCTTGGTCATAGTTACTTAGAAGAATTTTTCAGAGTGCTCACGAAGAAGAGTTAATGGACCATGTCACATTATTCATCGCATTTAGAGGGATATGATTGCTTTCGAGAGAGTCTAGGTTGGTTCGTTGGTTCACACTCACGAAAAATGCTTGGTACTTAGACAAATAAAATTGTATTGTCAAATTTGGACATTTTATGTTTATTTGGGAGTTTTTGAGCTCAAAATGGAGAGATTTTAAAGTTTTTCCGAGATATCATTGTGCTGGTAAGATTATAACTCCCTATTTGTTAATTTTTCATTGATTTATCACTGATTTTGTCGTTTGAATCATGTATATATGAACATAAAAAGTTTGGAATTTTTTTCTTACATGTAATTTGAAATTATATTTTAATGATTTGAGAGTCGATTTGAACTTCGTTTTTGATAAAATTTCAAATTTGAGTTCATTGTCCTATGGGTAAATTTATTTTGAAAGAAAATTTTAATTTCAACGTCAGCTCATAGGATTAACTTTTTCAACTCAATTTTTTACCTAAATTTTTATATCATAACATGAGCATCGATAAAATCTCGTATTCACTAATAAATCATAATTTTGATAGATTGATATCGTTTTGAGGCTTTACTCAAAGAAAAAACAATGGTATGAGGGTTCATGGTACGTTTGCTTGAACAATATTCATGTTAGGTTATAACTTATTTTTCTTATGCTTAGCTTAGGTGTTTTTGGCTAAAAAAATCCTTAAACTATATCCTCAACTTAAACTACATACTATAGTTATCTTTCTTAACAAAAAAAACATACTCCAAGTATTTAAAATTTAACAACTTCCATCTCTCTGTTAAAATTTGTCAAAAAATTAGCAAATTTCACACAAAAACATATGCAATTCATACTATTTTCATCAAACAAAAATTCTATAATTTTATTACTTGTTGGAAAAAGCTTTCAAAAATTAATTTTTTTAGACCCTTGTTTGTTGAGGAGAGTGTGAGTCTACTAGGAGACATGATTTGCTCTTCTCCTTTACCAGCTGAATGAAGTTGGAGCTTAATTTTACACCATCTTCACCTTGCAAAGTCAAAATGTCGTTAGATCAATAATTTTTTGGGGCAAACTGATAGATGAGGTAATCAAGATTCAACTAATTTTGATCTCTAGTACTCGAGTTTCGTTTTCCATTATTAGAAGTAAAAGTTTTCGATCGACACCACTTTTTAGCGATTCAATAAGAAAACATTTCAACTGATAATTTTTTGATATCAAATCAAATGAAAAGTAAATAAAAACAAAATTTCTAATTAAAAGGATGGCAATGCTTTCGTTGTTGCTAAAACTAATTCACAATATTTTATTTTAAATGTATGTATAATGGACAAAATTGGCTTATTGGGGGTGATTTAAAGAGTTTTTTTTTAGAGTAGTGTGAATCGTATGTGTTTTTGTGAAGAATTTGTTAATTTTTGACAAATTTTAACAAAAGAATGAAAGTTGCCAGATTTTAAATAATAGAGGGATGTTTTCTGTTAAGAATAATAATTTGAGGATGTAGTTTAAATTGGGGGTATAGTTTAAGTATGTTTTTGACCAAAAACTTTGAAACTTACTGTATAAGGTATGTTATTGGTTGGGTAAAATAATGGGTTTGTAGTATTACACATATTGATTGTTATTATGTAATCCGAGATTGAGATTTTAGATGATATTTAATTTATAATTTGAAATTACATCATTGTTGAATTTTTAGATGATATTTAATTTATAATTTGAAATTACATCATTGCTGAATTTTACTCAGTTTCTGACATCTTATCGTATATGACTTGAAATTACTCCCTCTGTTTCATACTACTTTGCCTATATATTAGAAACAGTTGTTTCAATTTATGAAATTAATTAAAAAAAATTATATTTTTCCATTTCAACCTTGGTATTAATAACTAGTTAAAGTAATAACAGAAAAGTTTAGAGTTTAATAAAATACACCTCTAATTAAAAATTTCTTATAAAAAAAAGTTGAGCAAGTAAGACCAAGTAATATAAAACAAAAGGAGTAAATAAAGATTTTAACAAAAAAAAAAAAAAAAAAAAAGCTTGCATCGGCTTTTAATGGCTTTTAATGAACTTTGAACTTTAATGAATTTAAAAATATAAAAAAACAGAGGACCTCTGGAAATTAGAACTCCTTCAAAATCTATCATATGTTTACATCTTTTAAAATCTTCAAAATCTTCAAACAATTAATACCTACGAGCATATTAAAAAATCATTATACTTTTCGAACGAAGGAATTAAAAAATAGTGTCTTGCTTTGATTTTTCCAAGAGAAAAAATTTATTGTCCTGCTATAATTTACTTTTATAGAGAAGACTTCTACCATGGGTAAAAATTAAATATTTTTAGTCTTAATAGGGACTCATATTATGTCATTATTATTAAAGTAAAATAGTAAATTGTAATTTTGTCTAGAGTTTTTAAAGAGGGACAAAAAGTTCAATCACATTTCTATAAAGTAATCTAAAATATATTATATATAAAAAAGATCTTAAGCTCGCCCTCGTGGCACTTCTGAAAAACATAAAATACTATTTATCTTTTCTTTTCGTGGGCTTTTTAACCTAATTTTTTTCCATTTAAATATGTTTCATTCCCTAGAACTTTTTTCCCGATTTATCCATAAATATTTTTTATTTATAGATTTATTTTATATAAAAGCTAACATATCAGACTTAGATTATGCTCCATTAGATGTTTCATTCTTTGAACGGGAACGTATATTCATCTTTTTGGTTATCTTTCAGTACTAATATATTATTTTTCATTTAACAATTGCAATCAGTTGAAATTTTTCAAAATAAAGTTTTCAAGAAATTATTATGGATATTTATGAGAGACTTTAAATCTTTTTCCCATGGACATTAATTGTTGACTATGGAGTTTTTTTATATGATGAATAAAGGGTGTTAGGTTATTCACAAAATTTCCACATGTGTAGGAAATTTAATTAAGATATGCGAGTATATTCATATTTTCTATGTGGTTCACGAACTAATTTTTGAACAATAATGAATTTCTTTTCACAATTTTCTATGTATATTCGCCTCAAATTTCAATGTAGTGTACTTTGAGAATATTCGTAAAAGCAAAATTATTGTTGTAATCGTGTGTGTACTTGTGGAGTTTTGATCTTTTTTTCTTCTCTTTTTACTTTTAGATATTGTTTGGCATTATTGTTGGAAGTTCAGAGATATTTATTTTGATGAAAAAGTATTTTTTTATGAAAAATTAGGTGTTTGATAAATCAGTAAAACTGCTTATAAATGGAAGCAAAAACAGTTTTTTTCGGTTGGAAAGAAGCTAAAAGTTTCCGCTTCTTAAAAAAAGTGGAAGCAAAAGCAAAAAATTATTTTTTTCAAGACTTAAATATCTCTTCCATATATACATATTTACCAAAATACCACTTATTAATTAACCTATCTCATAAGTTTGGTTAAGTTTCATTTAAGAATTTTATATATTATTTAACGTTTATGTATTATTATTTTATTTATTATAGTACGTATTGTTTTACATAATTAGAAAAAAGATAACAAAAGTATTTTTTGCAAGATTAGAAAAAGATAATTAAAGATTTTAACCCTCCAAATAAGGTATATTGAAAATTGAATATGTACATTTTAGTTTCATAAAAATAAAAATTAAATTAAGGATTTTTTGTAATAGATATTAAAAATAATTTCTCTCTATAAAATAATCTTAACACTAAAAGTACATTGATATTTGTCCCTTTTTCGTAGTTAAACTCTCAAAAGTATTTTTAATAAATATTTGCCAAAGACAATTTGCTAATGGAAAACACTTTTTAAATGAATTTAGTCAAATACATATTGTTTTTTTTTCAAAAGCACTTTTTTTGAAAAGCTATTTTAAAAATATATTTCTGAAAATAAGCAATTTTTATCAGTAATGCCAAACAGACTCTTAATATTACAGTAATAACCATGTGTAATTTAATGGCCATTGCTTTTCAGAAAAACAATTTAAAGAAATCTTTTCAAGCTATTGAAACATATTGCCAGCTTCAGGCAAGTCCTTTTATTTTTGGATAAGAAGTATACATAACAAGGATAAAAAGTATATGAAGAAGTTTGTCTGAGTTGGTAACATCTTTCAGTAAACCTTGCTTACCTTTAGTATATCGACTACTATTATATTTTTATTTTTATTATGAAACAATTTTTTTTATTGATGACATATTATTTGTAAAAGTTTATATTTCTCTTTGGGTACACTATATCAAAATTGATCTTTAGTAGTGATTAACCAACGACAATAACTTAATTGCCACTAAGTAAAGACTATCAGCGTTAGCACTCTTTGTTAATGTTGCAATATTCATATTTCTTGCCGATGCTTAATTGTTTTCTCTATGTGCATCATTTTCATGGATTTGACAATCTTTGAAGTGAAGAATATGAATTTCTTTAACACGAGGGATTTGGATGCATGGTGTTGTTCCTAGATAGGTTTACTGATCTATATGCATTCGTCTATCTCAAAAAATAATAATTCTTCTTTGCTACGTGTATTAATTATTTTAAAGGGCAACTCGGTACAGTAACTCTTTAGGAAAGTTAACGAATGGGCGAAGCGCGGCAAGTATAACTATATATTACTGCAACTGTTTGCAACAAGGCACAAGACACATAATGAGTAGTTATTCCTACTGTCACATACAAGCATGTCTAAAAAGGAACCAGATGCAGCAGCTTCACTTTTAATTCCTTTCCAAACAAAGATCAATAAATGATTCCTATGACTTTACACCTTGATCATTCATTTACTTGGAAGGCTATAGGTGTTGATTTGTACAGAGTATACTACCTTGTGTTTCTTCACAAAAAAAAAAAAAATGTTCCATAAAAGGCAAGTCACTGGCGTAATTACCTGTACAAGACTCAGAAGAAGCAAACCAGCATGTCAGAGTTGTACATTCCAGGAAAAGGTGCAAACGTTTTCTTGTACTTTGTCCGAGTCCTAATCTCTTCCTGTATCTGATCATGCAATTGACTTAGTTCCAGCTTCAAGTCTTCGATTATCTTCAATCTTTCTACTTTCTCAGGTGAGAGGAGCAACTGTCTTTCCAGACAGATGACTGGAAATAGAAATAAAGACAGACGTTAATCATTTAAGTCCCATGGATATCATGCAAAATCTACTCATCTTTGTGATAAAACAAATAAATGGTAGAGAAGTAGGAAAAAAAAAATACATACTCAGATCCAACTCCATTTCCTCTCATCATTTCACCATCCAAGGAAACCGCACCATCTTCTATGCAGGAACTTGCCATGTAAAGGTGTTCTCTAGACTCTAGACTTGAAGCTTACCAAGCAGACAGTAAAATGATGTCTCCAGGAGACCATAAGTTCTAAACTGCAAATGTTCTGCAGGAAGGAATATCATATTAACCGCATAGCCAAAAATGCCAGGGAGAGTTTCTCCATTTGATAAAGCTGGGCTTGGAAAAGCAAGTTCTCTTTGGAGATCACTGCTGACTCCTCACGTATATGGCCTGAAACAAAAAGGCAAGGACCTTACACTTTATTTTTCCAGAGAGCAATGATCAGACATGGATGAAACATGATGTGTTAACTGGATCGAGAGACCTAAAATCATAACAATTAAAAACAGTTAGTATAAAGTAAACCAGAGAAAGAAATGCTTTAACCTTATATCCTCAAGGCAAATAACCTTATATTGAACCTTGATGGAAATTCCAAGCTTAGAAGATAATATGTCAAGAGCACTGGCGCAATTCACATTTCAATCCATTTGATAATTGTCAAGAGCTCTGGCGCTGCACGGGATTTGCATACTACTGCAAGCAACTGATCTTCTCCAAGATGTGTTGAAAAGCATGCTAGGGATAGGTAACACACGTAATTACATCCATACTGCCAAGGAAGTTCTTAAACTGAGTCGTATTACAGAAAAAGATACCAGCATCAACCTGCTAAGCTTATGGGTCCAAAACTCTCCAAGAAGTGCAACCACGCCAAGTATGTCATGAGCATATTTGAGATACAGCTGTTCAGGTTTTGGTGATCTGAGCAGCTTGTGGACAACAGCAGCTGCACTGTCTGCCTTTCCTTCAATCTTCTCCATAACCACTTCTTTATCATAGCCCAGGTCGTGAAAAGAATCAAGACCGGTATAAACTGCATCCATGAGCATTTTATGTTAAAAAATTTAAGATGCATTTAATATGTCTTGAAAGAAGTTAAGACGGGTTGCGAATGAGGTACCACTCTACTACAAGTTACTACAGGATCTCAAATTTCCCATGCAATCATGATATCGGGGCTGACCGCTCCCCTCCTGCCAGAAACTGTGGCTGCATACACGGCGACAATAGATCATACACTGAGAACAAAACTTCATAAGGCAGTAGTGGTATGTAATACATCCAGACATAAGGTACTAGTGGTAAGTAATACACGGATTACTTTATTTACAAAAAGAAGCAGTGAGGGAGAAATATGTAGGTACAGTATTGACTGCCTTTTTTTTTCTCTGTAATGGATTCTATATAGAATTAAAATCATCTTGCATTTTATGCCAAAAAGCTAACAACAATGCAATGGAATTTACAAGGTCCTTTGGAGTTAAAATCATATTATACATCTGTTTTACAGCTCGTGAAGGGGGAGTAAGATAGGCTAGGTGCTTTTACTCAACTCGTGAAGGTTCATTTCTAGTTAGCAAGGATAAGGAAGTAAAGCTAGAGTCTTCTAATAATATGCTTGTCATAACGTGCGACTATCTCCACTATAAAAAGAAAAAATGGAAAGAATAGCATTTTCAGCACATTTATACGAAGAAGTCTTTATTATTATATTAGCATAGGTAGTCAACATTTTCAATTAGGGTTTTTTCCATACATGCAAACACAATAAATGAAACCAAGCAATCATAGTTAGTAGCACACTTGAGCCCTAAAGTGAGTATCAAAACGTGTTGAGCGCTTACCGTTGCTAAATGTGCGCTTCAATGTCGGCATCAAGAGTCTAAGGCATACTTTTCGTTATCAATGAACCTCTTATGAAGATGTGATACTAAACAATTGATATTTCACTCTATCGTACAAAAAATTTCAATTTGTTTGTTCTTATATTTGTTATTCATGCTAATAATTATGGGATAGTTTCAGATATATACAATAAAATCATTAGTTTACAATAAGAGCTTGTTGGATTGGCTTTTCAGATTTGACTTATAAGCCAAAAACCATAAGTTACAAATCATACTTATGGCTTTTGGTTTATTTTGTCATTTTAGCTTAAACCTAAGTGCTTATACCGTTATACGTACTTTTTTAACTTACCCAAACACTACGAAACTGCTTAAAAGCTATTTTAGCTTAAAAGCACTTAAAATAAGCCAATCCAAAAAGGCTCTAAAAATAGCCATCCTATATTTACATAATAAGTAGCCAAAAGTCATAGAAAGTAATACACTAAGGGGTTGTTTGGTGTGAGGGATAGAAATAAATAGTAATGGATAAGAAAATAGTGATAGGATAAAGTTTTTGTATCTTGTTTGGTTGTCATGTTTGGGATAACTTATCCCACCATTTATATCATAGTGATGGGATAAGTTATCCCCTATACATGGTGGGATAAGTTATCCCATGATAGCTAATCAGGAGGAGGAGGAGGAGGAGGAGGAGGAGGACAAGAAGAAGAAGAAGAAGAAAAAGGAGGAGGAGGAGGAGAAGGGGGGAAGTAGGAAGGAGGAGGAAAAGAAGCCATTAATAGCCAAATTGATAGGAAGAAGCAGGTTATGTCCAATGTCCAATGTCCAATGTCCAATTTGGCCATTTTAAAAAAAAAAAAAAAGATGACAAACTGGCCCTTTTGTATAATTTTCCCAATAATTATTAGACTTGGACTAAACATATGTATAATTGTATTTTTTTCACCCTTTGCATTGTTTTTCATTAAAGCCCACATGTTATTTGTACTTTGCAAAGCTCCAACGAACCTTAGATGTTTGTTGCGCTTTTCGCATTTGATAATACTGACCATAGATGGAGGTCTATCTCCTATAGGCATCATAGTAGATCTCCACTAAAAAAGACAAAGAACACGCTAAATTAATTGTGTCTACGCTTATCTAAACCTTCTAAAACAAAAAAGAGTTGACAGACTCTTCTATTCTACTCACTCTGGGAATTTGAAGCTATGAGGGCGATCCGTGTAGTTAGTTCCCTTCGTTTGTGGAGCAGGGCCTCCTTCCTCTCTTCCGAACTGCAAATATGGTGCAAGATATGTTGCATCATATTTGCAACAGCCTCAGGCTCGAGTTGAGGAAAATGCAACCAAAACAGACCCAACCTTCGCTCTGATTGGAGATTCTCCTCTTCTACTCTCAAGAAATATATCTTCCAAGTCTTCAAAAAGAATCTATGGCTTCACTCAATTTGATTCGAGTTAGCAAGTTAAAGGTGAAAGGAATTTAGGAATGAATAGCATGCAAAGTCCTTGCTAGGAATTCAGAATAACTTTCTATATTCCTTAAGGTTACAAGTGAAGCTTACTTCCTGTGGTAGCCTCTTGGATCTTTGCCACTCAAGGGTTGGGTTCTGTGGCGGGCTCTTTGGTCTCCGGACTCATTTGGTAAAAGTGGTGGCTTGGTCCCCCCCCCCCACCCCCCTTATCATGAGAGTATGTGGGAGAAGTTTGTATTAGCATTTAGGCATTTGCCTTATGGTTCGCGGTTTGCAGTCCTCTCTTGCCGAGATGCCTTTCAAAAAGATTTTTTCCCTCATCAAAACAAGACCCACTATCGTAGATATAGCCGAGTCGGGCGTCGACAGGAATTCCCCAATAGATTCTACAGATTCAGAGATTGCGTTTTACTGTAAAAGGCTTGATTTCACAAACATGTACATTTTATAATGTATACTATCACTATGCTCTACGTTCAAAATATTTCTTCTTTACAAACAGTCCAGATGATATACAAGGGACCTGACTTGTTATCCAGATCTTCCTAAATTGCGTCCTTAATCTACTAGTAGTCTTCCTTTGGTTCCCATGACATACATTCTACTCATTTCTACAATATTTTCTCTCTCCTAAATTCTTACCAGTATATCTAGGATATTTAACATTATGGCGAGAACTTTGCGACTAAATGACTATTTAATAACTGGACTACTAAATTTCTAATTTATCCATGTCTCCTCTTGGAACAAATTATTTCAGCAGAAGTTTACATAAATTAAATCTTTCTTTTAAAGTAAGTTCTGCAAAAGATCCTTCCCAAGCTCCTCATTTGTCTTGCCTAACAAATTTCCAAAGTTTCAGATATTGCCAGTTGAATACTCCAAATACAAGGAAGCAAATATGTAGATGCCAAATCTACGTGGAAGAAGAAGATCTACACTTGTCATCCCTGAGCTAGATTTGAAAGTTGGGTGGAAAGACATTGATAACAAGATAGCCATATTCATAAATGCCTCTCTACCATCGATATTCAATTCAAGATTGACAGACAAAGAAATCCTATATTCAAGGGTTGTCAGGAGCAGTAAATGGGGAAATATGGAATTTATTAGCACCTCCAAAGAAAAGAGTAAACACATTATAGAAGGTTAATCAGGAAAGATAATATAATTTTCTGGGAGATGAGTTTTCAATATTTATCACGTTCCGAGTCTACGACACATTTTAGATTTACCTGAATGACTTCTAGTAATTATTTATATCTTAATCTCACTATCTCCTAGGAGGTGTTTTTAATCCTATGTTTATATGTAATTGAGTTCATCTGTTTGTATATTATATGTATTTGAATATGCAACACACTTTATTTTTCTTGTTGATTGCTTCACTGAATCATTATCCTCTCTACCTTCCCAAGGTAGGGGTAAGGCTGCCTACACACCACCCTCCCAGACCCCAATTGTGGGATTACACTAGATATGTTGTTGTTTGGTTATTTTGCATCACTGAATCATTTGTATTCTTTCTTTCTCGTGTATATTTTTTGTAAAGGGAAGTAAAGATCAAATTAGAGTTCTGGAAGGTTGGATCTACCTGAAAGCTATTTTGAAACTGAGAGACAGATGAAGGAGCTGAAATGGGAAAGGGTAAGATTTACAGAGAGAGCAAACATTGGTAACTGGTGCAAAGATCAACTATGAAATAAGGAAACAAAAGTTTATCAAGTTTCTTTCACAAAGCTCATCCTATCTTTCAGGGCTATATACTTGAGTGTGTCTAGTTAGACTATGCATGCTAGTCATTGATTTTTTCGTAATAATTAGTGTTGTCGATGCCAAGCAGATATAAATTAAGTCATCTCTAAGTTGATTTATGTAAAGCTTGAGCATTTTTTACAATATAGCTTGCCAAAAGTCATAGAAAGTAATATATTGACTATACAATATAGCTTACCTATACATGAGTTATACACTAACTATACATTATGATACACTCAGAAAGCTGAAAAACAACTTAACTATACATCAAGTATACATAGAGTGTTCAATCTCGATCAATTCTAAATCACCTCTAAACAATCCCAAATTTTAGATATGAAATTTGCTCGATGATTCGAGTCTTTTGATATATATATTTGCTTGAAATGATTCACATTTTCGATACATCAATTAAAAAAAAAGGAGAAGAAGACGACAAAGAAGAATGATGACGATGAAGACAGAGGAGGAGGAGGGGGGAAAGTAGGAAGGAGGAAAAGAAGCCATTAATGGCAAAAATTGTTAGGAAGAAGAAGGGTATGTCCAATGTCCAATTTGGCCTCTTCTTTTTTTTTTGAAAAAAAGACGAATAACAGGCCCTTTTGTATAATTTCCCAAATAATTATTAGTCTTGGAGTAAACATATGCATAATTGTATTTTTTCACCCTTTGCGTCGTTTTTCATTAAAGTCCACATCTTATTTGTACTTTGCAAAGCTCCAACGAACATTAAATGTTTGTTGCGCTTTTTGCTTTTCATAATACTGAGCATAGATGAAAGTCTATCTCCTGTAGGCATCATAGTAGATCTCCACTAAAAAAGACAAAGAACACCCTAAATTAATTGTGTCTACACTTATTTAAACCTTCTAAAACAAAAAAGAGATGTCAGACTCTTCTATTCTACTCTCTTTAGGAATTCAAACTATGAGGGTGATCCGTGCAGTTAGTCCCCTTCGTTTGTGGAGCAGGGCCTCCTTCGTCTCTTCCGAACAACAAATATGGTGCAAGATATGTTGCATCATATTTGCAACAGCCTCAGGATCAAAATGAGGAAAATACAACCAAAACAAACCCAACCTTCGCTTTGATTAGAGTTTCTCCTCTTCAACTCTTGAGAAATTTATCTTCAAGTCTTCGAAAAGAATCTTTGGCTTCACTCAATTTAATTCGAGTTCGCAAGTTAAGGGTGAAAGGAATTTAGGAATGAATAGCATGCAAAGTCCTTGCTAGGAATTTCAAATAACTTTCTATATTCCTTAAGGTTACAGGTGAAGCTTACTTCCTGTGGTAGCCCCTTGGATCTTTGCCTCTCAAGGGTTGGGTTCTGTGGCGGACTCTTGGGTCTCCACAGACTCATCTGGAAAAAGTGGTGGTTTGGTATCCCCCCCTCCCCTTCATGCGTGTATGTGGGAGAAGTTTGTATTAGCATTTAGGCACTTGCCTTATGGTTCGCAGTCCTCTTTCGCCGAGATGCCTTTCAAAAAGATTTTTTCCCTGGTCAAAAGAAGACCCACTATCGTAGATTTAGCCAATTCGGGCATGGAAGGGAATTCCCCAATAGATTCTACAGATTCAGCGTTTGCTTTAAAAAGCTAGATTTCACAAACATGTACATTTTAAACTGTATTCTATCACTATGCTCTACGTCCAAAAACAACTCCAATTTCTTCTTTACAAACAGTCCAGTTGATATACAAGGAACCTGTTATCCATATCTTCCTAAATTGCATCCTTAATCTACTAGTAGTCTTCCTTTGGCTGCCTTGACATATATTCCACTCATTTCTTCAATATTTTCTCTCTCCAAATTTCCATACTAGGATATTTAACATTATGGCGAAAACTTCGCGACTAAATGACTATTTAATACCTGGACTACTAAATTTCCAATTTATCCATGTCTCCTCTTGGAACAAATTACTTCAGCCGAAGTTTACATAAATTAGATCTTTCTTTTAAAGTAAGTTCTGCAAAAGATCCTTCACAAGCTCCTGATTTGTCTAGCCTAAAAAATGTCCAAAGTTTCAGATATTGCCACTTGAATACTCCATATACAAGGAAGCAAATATGTAGATGCCAAACCTACGTGGAAGAAGAAGATCTGTACTTAACATTCCTGAGCTAGAATTTAATGTTGGGTGGAAAAACATTGGTAACAAGATAGGAAGATTCATAAATGCTTCTCTACCATCGACATTCAATTCAAGATTGACAGACAAAGACATCCCCTATTCAGAGGCTGTCAGGAGCAGTAAATGGGGTAATATGGAATTTATTAGCACCTCCAAAGAAGAAGAATCTGGTCTGTCAAAGGAAAGAGCCATTCACATTGATGAATCTTTTGACCCATCTTAAAACGATGTTCTGAACAGATGCGTGGTCTGCAATTTCCACGAAAACTTTCTGTAGCTGCTCACACTATAAGATATCAGGAAGTGGTCCTATGGCCTCTGGAAACAAGCTCATGGATTAAATACCTATGAGATGGGTAACCACAGTTCCCTTTTATAATTTGCTTCCAAAGCAGACACAGAGTAGGTTATACTTGGTGAATGGAAATGGAAGAAATCTCCAGCTCAACTCCATTGGTGGTCACCAACAATTGGAGCCATCAAGCAGGAAAAGAAACTCAGCTCTGTCTGGGTTAAGTTTGTAGGACTAGCGTTGTATTTATGGTCGCAGAAGACCTTCAGAGCTATTGGAGATCATAGTGGGGGATGGATGGAGATGGAGGAAACACAACTCCGGACCCATCTCAAATGGGAAAGGGTCAGAATAAAGGAGACGGTAGTGAAATTCCGAAGAATTAGTGACAATAGAGAATGGTGGATTTTTCTTCACGATCCAAGTATGGGTGGAGCTGCCCAGCAACTTACTCCATCGGAACAGAAAACAGAGGTCCCCCTTCGAACCAGAAGGTATCGAGAATGATATTTGCAGGTAAAAGGAAGATTGTGCACAGTGACGATATGCCAAAAACCACTATGGAACTCTTTAACAGTTGCAAGGGGATTGGCAAAAGGAATGAAGAAGACCACTGGTGGCAAATCATTCCAGCCTGCATTTGGTGGGTAGTCTCTTCTTTATTTAATGTAAACATGATCTTTTGGAGGATACAGGGGATCTCATAGAACTGATAGGCAAAGTGTAATAAAGGTAGCTGTTAGCTCTCTGTTTTAGCCCCTCCTTTGGCTCCTATTTATGGATTTTGTAATTACTCTCCAGAATTTAATATATATACAGGTTGTTATCTTTTTTTTAAAAAAAAAGTTAATTTGTAGTTGCCAAACTTTACTTGTTATTTAAATATTGCAGCACAAACTTGAAGCAAATGTGTTCTCTCTCACCTGTAATGAGGTTACTGGTTAGAATATGAACATTTTCAGTTGAAAAAGGACAGTTTTACTGCATCCTAGAAAAACCAATTTCGTCCCTTTCTCGTGAAATTGTTTTAGCATCTCACTTCCTATATCTACATCTTTAGACTGCTCAAAGAAAACATCTATAACTGGCATACTAAAGCAAGCACAAGCTTAAAAAGTATCCAGGGGAAAAAATAGGATCTCTTATCCATGCAGAGTTCTCACCTAACATGATAAAATGCAAGTACAGTCTGCAGCTATCAAATGACATCGTCAATCAATTAAAGCAGGATGTAAGGACAAAGAGGATCAAGTAAAAAAAACTCAAGCTTTTACCTATATCAACTTAGAGATGACTTAATTTATATCTGCTTGGCATCAACAAACACTAATTATTATGAAAAAAATCAATGACTAGCATGCATAGTCTAACTAGACACACTCAAGTATATAGCCCTGAAAGATAGGATGAGCTTTGTGAAAGAAACTTGATAAACTCTTGTTTCCTTATTTCAAAGTTGTTCTTTGCACTGGTCAGCAATGTTTGCTCTCTGTGTAAATCTTCCTCAAATCTTACCTTTTCCCACTTCAGCTCCTTCATCCGTATCTCAGTTTCAAAATAGCTTTCAGGTAGATACGACCTTCCAGAACTCTTTGGAAATTTGATCTGTACTTCCCTTTACAAGAATAAACACGAGAAAGAAAGAATCCAAATGATTCAGTGATGCAATACAAACAAACAACAACATATCCAGTGTAATCCCACAAGTGGATCTGGGAGGGTGGAGTGTACGCAGCCATGCCCCTACCTTGGGAAGGTAGAGAGGATAATGATTCAATGATGCAATCAACAAGAAAAATAAAGTGTGCTGCCAATTCAAATGAATCTAATATATAAACATACAAAATCAAATACATGTAATATATAAACATAGGAATAGGATTGAAAACAACTCCTACGAGACAGTGAGATTAAGATATAAATAATTACCATAGGTCATTCAGGTAAATCTAAAATTTGTCGTAGACTCGGAACGTGATAAATCCTGAAGACTCCTCTCCCAGAAAATTATATTATGGATTATCTTTCCTGATTAACTTCTATAATGTGTTGATGACTCTTTCTCTTCCCCCCCCCCCCCCACCCCTTTAGAATAATATTTCATTAAAGATGCCAATTAATCATTCTGAAATGAAAATGCATTACAAACAAATGTAACAAAAGCTACCTTGCAGAAGCTTTGCTGTAGATGTAGAGAAAGAAATGGAAGAACATGCTTTCATGCACCATTCTATACAGATTGACAGAGGAAGTTCATGAAAGGTCGAACTACTGAACTCCACAAAGGTCAAGCAACATGGTCACAAAATACAAGCTTCCCAGTTCAGGCGCACAGTTAGGGATCAAGTATATTACTTGATACTCAAAAAGGAACAAGTTAATGGGCAATCAATTCTTTAAAGTATCTTCACAAGCAAGTTGAACTATAAAAGAACAAAAATTTATGAATATAATAAACACACTATTTAAGACAAGCCTCTTTACCTTTTGCCTAGGGAAAATATACCACCACTCTTTATGATCCCACCGTCCAATGATATGGCTCCATCAGCTATAAAAGGTAGTGCCTGCATCATGTCTGCCCCTGTTTTGTATACTTGCAACCGTGAGAAGAGTCTATAGAAGAGGGTCTCTCTCAGGCCATGACCAGTGCTTGTAACACAATATAAATTCGCAGTGTCAATATTGATCATATTGACAGCAAAACCAAGAAAACCAGGAGGAGTTTCCTCATTGAGGTATCTTGGCTTCTTTATGGACAGCCTCCTCTGAGGGTCATCAGCAATAAATTCACCAGTGTATGGTCTAAAATGATAACCCAAAAATGAAAAAGATAAGAGAGTAAAGAAGTGCTAAAGAATATGAGATGCATTTGCAAGAAGAGATAATCATAACCTCAAACCTTAAGTTCTCAAGACAGATTACAAGATATCGGTCATCCAAAGGTCTCCCAATTGAAGCTCCAACTCCATGAAGACCAGAACTTTTATTTACAAGTCCCTTCTTATCATATGTTTGCAGTGCTTTAAGTCCATCATGCTTCTTGCAAACAACTGCTAACATGGTTTCTTGCCCAAGATAATCTGAGAGAGTCCTGGATTTCAGAGATTAAGATACAAATGTCAGTCATAATACAGTGAACTTCCATTATCTGCCTACTTCTTGTTAAAGAGCTGGACTAGGGCCAAAATCGACCCCCAAAATATATCTCATGAGGGGAAGATTGCTCAAGCCTGTATATGCAAACCACACATTCATTCCCCAACTAATGTAGGACTACTTAGTACGACCTAAGAAAGCGAGAAAACGTTCAAATACCAACTAACCTTCTACCCTAATCTGCGACCTCCAAACCCTAATCACTCTAAGTATACCTATGACAAATTCAAAGACCAGAACGTATCAAACTTTTTGTCTCAAGTCTTCACCATCATGCAGCCACATATTGTCATCTTGATTGGGACAGAGTGAACGAGTGCTATAATCTCTTGAACATGGACTAGAATAGAAACTGGACTCATACAAACTCATTTCTTTTTTCTTCTTTATCTATTTTTTGTAGAAAACGCCAGCAATTACTGGATGCTATGTGAAACTAACCTGCTGAGATTATCGTCGTCAACCTTGCCAAGCAAAGCAACCATTCCTATCACGTCCTTCATATACGGAATATGAGTAATCTGAGTTCCATTATGAGTTGGCAGCTGGCAACTGTTCAATGTTAAGATTTCTTCAATGGTCTCCAACTCATTCTTCCCATTAGAAGATTCCTTATTTTCAGAACCAGTTCCACTTGCTGAATAAATCTTGCCGAGAGCAACTACAATACCCCACAAGCACAAGGCATTAAAATTGAGAAACAGTGAGAAGGCATATGACAAAAGGGAAAGAAAAAAGTTAAAGTGAATGATATAGTCTACACGGAGTGCTTTTAAATAGGCAATACACACATTAAACCCATGAACAATATATTAAGCTCACTGAAACAAGCTGATATTCTGCGCAACAGGTAATCACGAAATCCATATTTACTTGAAATGTGAAAGACGCCCATTGATATGAAAATTCTTACAATGTTTGATTGTTTACTTCCCATTAAGACAGAATAAAAACATTATATTCTAGGTTACTGAAAGAACAAAATAACTACAGTAACCTTTTAAAATTGTGCACGTGCACTTTACAGCACACCTAATTAACTTGAAAAGAAGGAAACAATACCTTCTATATCCGAAATTGAATCATCCAACCTGTTCTTCTGACCCTCTAAGAATTTGATATTATCTTCATGGTGTTTAATTTGAAGACCAATCTCCTTCACTGCATCCTCAAGTTTCTGCAGTAATTAAATGATGCAGTCATGAATATTGATCCATTTACTTCACAAAAATTATCATAATGGCATTATCATCTCAAACAATGGATGCTAGTAGATATATCTATACCTATAATCAAAACTACTGTGTATATTGCATCCATTAATGACAAAATAAAATGAACTAGGCAGATATCTTTGAAAATCATAACCACCTTGGATTTGCAGATAACAGCCTCAGCAGTTCCATTTTTCATTATGTCCCGATTGCCAGCAAAAGTAAAGGAATTCTTCTGACCTCCTTGATTGAGCGATGGATCATGCATAAGTAGTTCCTTAGGACTGGTTCGTAGCTGGAAAAGGAACGTAAAAGCAAATATCAGTTTGTTAGAGTTGCTTATTAATAAAAGATTCAACAAGTGCCTATTATAAGGTCCTAGAGTGCTCACCACATATACAGTGAACAAGTAATACTAATGCGCAAATCGTACTTGCCATTTTTTTTATCTCTGTTTCATTTAGGAGGAACATAAAATATACTTTCTTTCTGAAAATACAAATGAAGGTTGAACATTCAGATTTCCACAACGGGATGCCAAAGTTTCTTCAGGCGATATACTACATAGATGGAAAGAGGCCAAAGATGAGGCTTAATCGAACAGCCCTCATTTTTAGTAAATTTAGAATGTGCGACCAACTATAGGGCAATAGAAAACAAACTTGACAATTTCAGGTACTAGTTCAAATACAGGCATCAACATTAACTAATGGAAGTGCTTTGAAGCTAAGTCCCGTAAGTTTGTAGATATAAAATAAAAATTGGTAAAGGGGAGCCGTAAAGGGATTGATATTATTGTGTTTAGAAAGAAAAAACTACTCACAAGTGTATCCTCAAACTGTTTGAAGGGCACGGGCAACATAAATATATAGTGAAAAATGAAATAATAGTAGAACTTCCTTGTAAGGTTGCTAATTGTACATTTCTCCAGCATCAAGTATCAATACACTTATCCTTTACCAATCAAAAAATAATAGTAGGACGCTCAGGTTTTCCAGAGTCATTTGGCATACAGATGAATACCACCAAGACCCTACCTAGTAACATCCAGGCATGTCAACTAAACCCTTAGCCAACCTCACCAACGCAACATATCTTGCGAACACGATGACTATTCCATTTCCGAAGAGCGAGCAGTTAAATGGTAATAAAACCAAATAAAATAACGCAGGGACTAAATAGTTATCTCAGTTCTTGAATATTGTCCTCATTAATTTCTCAACCACAAGATAAACCCCATTTGCATGCCATTTTATAAGTAACCTTGTTTTATTTGCCATTACTAGACTCACTCACTTAACGAATACTACTACATAAGAACTTTATTAAAAGCCTTCAATTATGTAATCAGATTCAAAGTTAAAAAGAGCACGTTTTATCCCACAGATCAAGCTGATTTGCTTGAAACTTGACAAAGTTTCGCCTGTTAGTTATATCCATGTTGGCTCCCTTCTAATGTGTCTCAAAAGAACACAACTATCATTTGCATCAAGCCTCTAGTAGTTCTTGAAAATTAATGCACAAGTAAAAACTAACTTGCAGCTTTGTCAAAGTTCCACAACAACAACATACCAGTGTAATCCCACAACTGGGTCTTGGGATGGTTGAGTGTACGCAGACCTTACCCCAATCTCATAGAGATAGAGAGCTTGTTCCGGTAGACCCTCGGCTTACTTTGTCAAGGTAACAGAATAATAAAAATTAAATATCATATCATATATATATATATATATATATATAAAAGAGAACCCTAGGCCCGCCTACGTGACACCAGCACAAACCAGGATTCCTTTTTTAATTTATATATTTACAAAACTAGCCTTCCTCTTTCATGAAAAGTTGCGACTTTTATGAAAAGTTGCGACTTTTATGAAAAGTTGCAACTTCTATGAAAAGTTGCAACTTCTATGAAGAGTTGCGACTTTAATGAAAAGTTGTGTCTTTTATGAAAGATTATGACCTTTCCCAAGGGTTGTAACTTTTCCAAAGAGTTGTGACCTTTCTGATAAGGCACAATAAACATTTGTTCACACTACACTTTGTTGTCTAGCTATAAATAGAGGGATTTCCTCTCATTTTAAAACAACAAAAATTTTGAACTTCTTCTTCTTAACCTGCACAATTAAATATTCGTGTACAATTTTTTCCTTTCTATTTCATCCTATTGTTACAGATCCTGGTATGTTTTTTTACGGTCATTAATTTATGCTTATGTTATTAATTGTTGTTTTTGAGTACATGTTTTAAACTTTGTTGTTTATGTTTCTGCAAAGTTATTGTTATAAGTATTTGTTAGTACAGATTAAACAACACACGTTAATTGAGTATTCACGCAAGTTTTCTCTACTGATCATGAAATTGTTGAAGGTACGATAAAAAAATTCCTTAAAGATCTATACTATTATTTGTCATTATCACATAACTCAAGAACATCTAATGAATGAATTATTCAGGAAATAATAAATCATTGGTTCTTTAATCAGCATTAAAAGGAAAAAAAAGAAAAAAAATAAGAATATATATACACAAAGGCATTTCATAAGAACAAGAACACATTTAAGTTGCATAGATTTTACAATTTTGATATATGTCTCAGGAAAAAATTCAAAAATTTGTTAACATATTCCAAAAAGAAATTACTTACATTATTAATGTTTGTTATATGTAATCTTGTATGTAAGATAATATAGTGTTTTAGTTTTAATGACTCATAGGTTTTAAGTAATATTTTATAAATTCAGCGATATTAAATTCCCGTGCAAAGCGCGGGTGATTTTACTAGTTAAATATAATACTAAAAGTGTTAACCTATCTAGAGCAATGTCTAATTTTTCCAGCTGCATTAATGAGCTGGAACTCATAGACCCTCCTCTTTTCCGGGGATCCTATACTGGAGAGGAGGGAAAAATTACAGGAATGCTTCTAGAATAGACAGGTTTTTGTATTCTTTTCCTTGGGATGAAATGTTCACTCAGATTAGACAAAGCTCTCTTCCTAGCCTTGGGTCTGACCACAACCCTATTCTTTTGACTTGTGGAGATGGTAATTTCAAGAAGTCTTACTTTAAGTTTGAAAAGTGGTGGCTTAATGTGGAAGGCTTCAAAGAAAAAGTTCAAGAATGGTGGTGTTCTTTTATCATATCTGGTATCCCTGACTATATTCTGGCAACAAAATTAAGCATGTTAAAGGCTAAACTAAAAGAATGGAGCAAAGAGCACAAGGTGAACCGGAAGGCAAGAAAAAGCCACATCCTAGATCAAATAGGGAGCTTGGAGACCTTGCAAGAAAGCAGACCCTTAAATGATGATGAGCAGTTGGTAAAGGCTCATTTAGCCATGGAATATGAGGACGTGGCCAGGAATGAAGAAATATTTTGGAGGCAGAGATCCAGAGTCCAGTGGATCAAATGTGGTGATAAAAACACTAAGTTTTTTCACAGAACTGCACATAAAAGACTCTAACACTATAGATTCCTTGTTGATCAATGGAGAACTATCTAGTGATCCTGTGGCTATCAAGGGCTCCATTGTGGATTTTTATCAAGATCTCTACAAAGAATCAGAAAATTGGAGACCTTATTTGAATCTTTATGAAGTACAAGGCATTTCAACAGAAGAAAGAAACAACCTTGAGAGAGCTTTTGAGGAAGAAGAGGTACTGGCAGGGATAAAGATGTGTGCTGCAGAAAAAGCACCCGGACCAGATGGCTATACCATGGCTTCCTTTCAAGCTTTCTGGGAAACACTAAAGGAAGAACTGACGCAGACACTCCACAGATTTCACTCTCACCACAAGTTTGAGAAGAGCTTCAATGCCACTTTTGTAGCTTTGATACCTAAGAAGGTCTGAGCAAATGATCTAAGAGATTTCAGACCCATTAGTCTAATCTCCGGGGTCTACAAAATCATAGCAAAGGTGTTGGCTGAGAGATTAAAGAAGGTAATAAGCAAAGTTGTAAACAACCACCAGATGGCTTTCATCAAAGGGAGACAAATAATTTATGTTGATCTTATTGCTAGTGAATGCATTGACACCAGGATTAGAGGAGATGTGCCTGGAATTATGTGCAAATTAGATATTGAAAAGGCCTTTGACCACCTGAACTGGAGTTTCTTGTTGAACACTCTCAGGCAAATACGATTCGGGAGAAGGTGGATTAAGTGGATAGAATTCTGTATCAAAACTGGAGGTCTGAGACAAGGGGATCCCTTGTCCCCTTTCCTGTTTATCATAGCTATGGAAGGGTTAAGCAGTCTGATGAGAAGGGCTGCAACAAACAACTGGATAAAAGGCTTCAGCATTAAGAACAGGAACAATGAAATCATGGAGGTGACTCACTTATTATATACTGATGACACTGTGGTTTTCTGCGAAGCTGAACAAGAACAAATTTGCTACCTAAGGGTGACACCGGTAATCTAGCTTGCTCTGGTTTGAAGATTAAATATTAACTAGAGGAAAAGCAATATTTTTCCAGTGAAAGAGGTGCAGCAAATTCAGTCTCTGGCAGATACTTTGAGGTGCAGGATAGAGGAGTTGCCCACAATTTATTTGGGAATGCCATTGGGTGCTAATCACAAAGCTGTGAATAAATGGGATGGAATAATAGAGAAAACAGAAAAAAGACTAGCTCTTTGGAAATCACAATACCTTTCCCTGGGCGGCAGCGATGTGTTGATCAATGCAGTCCTAGATTCTCTGCCAACATATGTAATGTCTTTATTTCCCATCCCCGGTGAGGTGGTGAAAATCTTAGACAAGTTGAGGAGGGATTTCTTATGGCAAGGAAGCAAGATTGAGAAAAGTTTCAACCTGGTAAAAATGGAGCGCAGTTCAGCAAAGCAAGAGTTTTGGAGGTCTAGGAGTGAGGAACCTAAAGCTTCATAATAAGAGTTTACTTATCAAATGGCTATGGATACTCGAGAAAATCAGTCCTTGTAGAGGGAGATTATCCTTCATAAGTATGGTCCGGAGGGATAGTGGTGCACACCACTAATAAAGTGACTAATACATATGGGGTTGGGGTTTGGAAATCTATCAGGAATCTATGGATGACTCTCAAGCTAAACACTAAAGTTAGAGTTGGTAGGGGAGACAAGATACTTTTTTGGGAAGAGGACTGGAGTGGTCATGGCACACTTCACTCCCTTTTTCCAGGACTGTTCTCAATAAAGCTTGAATACTGGATGCAGTATACAAGAAATGTGGTCCCCTCAAGGGTGGAACTTGACTTTCAGAAGACCCCTAAATGATTGGGAAATACCATGGGTAGTAGATTTTCTAAAACTAATCGGAAACTTCCCGGGCACTAGTACAGACTCAGACAAACTCATTTGGAGGCACCATAATGATGGAATTTTTACTGTTAACAGAGTATACAAAAAGGGACTGAGTGTTGCTGCAGGCACGTCAACTGGACCTTGGAATACTATATGGAAGAGTGTGGCTCCTAATAAAGTGAAATGTTTCACTTGGCTAATAGCTAGGAAAGCATGCTTGACACATAAGGCATTGCAAAAAAAGGGGTCCATCATTGCATCTAGATGCCTCCTCTGCAAGGAGGCACTAGAAACCAACAAACACCTTTTCATGCATTGCAAAGTAACGATGCAAGTTTGGGCTATGTTCAATTCCATTGCTGGAATCAACTGGATCATGCCTGAACATACTGCAGACTTGTTTAGCTATTGGATTAGAAGAGGAGGAAGCAAAAGCCAAAAAAGATGGTGGAGAACAGTCCCAGCCTGCATCTGGTGGACCATTTGGAAGGAAAGGAACCAGAGAATCTTTGAAGGAAAAGAATCCTCTATTTTGAAGATTAAGTGGAAAGTTATTACTTCACTATGTTTTTGGTGTAAAAAACAGAGTATAGAAGAGGAAATCCAACTAGTGGATTTTATAGGCTCTTTGTAAGTATCTCTCGTTTCTTTTTTGTAAACTTTTTGGAGGTGGCCAGCATACCCTTAATGCTGAATGAATACAATTTACCAATTTCAAAACAAAAAAAAAACTACGTTAAGATGTAGGTTTTAGAGTTAGGTTCAGTGTTAGGGCTTTGGGTGAAATGATTTAGTTAAACAGTCTCATACCTTCTTTTTCTTTATGCAAGGAAAACCCACAGCCGCTGCCCTTTGGATGCGCACAGGATAAAACCCCCGCTCTTATGCAATAGCTCGCAAACTACACAAGAGAGGTAACCCGCACTAAGCAAGCCCAGTACGACGAGCTCGACCCACAAGGCAAACCCCTTTCTTTTGCGGGCAAGGGATTTCGAACTTGATCCTTCCAATATGGAATTCCCAAGCCCAAACCGTTGGGTCACCCGAAGGGTTTAAACAATATTATACCTTACACTTCAGTAAAATACTCTCCAAGAGAAATCTTACCATTGTGACCCTAATCTCTCCAGAATAGCTGATATGGCCATGCCCACCGGCAGCAAGCCACCACCAGTGGCTGGTCTACCCATTACAACTCCCTCCCCTCTACAACGACGAACTACATTACAGCCCTACATAACACCATTACCCAAGAGAAAACCAAACATATTATGCTTCAACCTATCACATAATAAAGAACCCACCATCCCATGGACCAAGAAAGATTTTGATAGGTTGTGTATCCGGCAAAACCTTATATATGCACTAGTGGAAAAATTTGCATATGGAAGACCTGATTGATACTCATTAAAAAAATATGCCAACACAATTGTAGCATGCAATATTGGCTATATTGAAGAAAGGCAACTCCGACGAGATCAACACCAAATGCAGGCATGTGAACCTCTTTCCGCCACTTTTCAAAAAATAGTATCGTTGTGCATCATTCAAGCAAAATCATCCGTCACTGTACAAAATCCAGTGACTACTCACAACTATCTCTGTTTTCTTTGGTGTTGTACAAAATCCAACACCACCATAAGGTCCAACAACCTCCGGTGACCAAAGCTCAACCAACGTCATTGGTCGCAAATACCTCACGCAAGGCTAGATCTAGGATTCTAGCGACCGCGATAGTACCACGTGCCAATGCATGAGCCTGTTCCAGCTAGTTTTCCGGCAACTTTCTTGTTCAATATTGACTCGTGATTTCGAGACAATCTATATATTTTATTCCAAATTTTGAGCACTTTCCGGTGACCACTGCACTATTTTCGACATATCTAAGTTTTCCAATTTCACTTTTGCCAAAGGATATGCTGAGATATTTGGGATGGATTAGAATGATAATTTCTCTCCCCTGGCTAAAATAGCATATATCTGCCTTTTTCTATCAATGGTTGTCATTTGTCATTGGCCTCTCCATCAGTTGGACATTAAAATGCTTTACCACATGATTTTATTAGCCGGGGTAGTCTAGTATCTTTGTATGTCGACTGTGCAGATCACTCTAAGGTTTGAAACAGTCTTCTTGAGCTTGATTTGGGGAGTTCAACAAGTAATTCAGGAGTTTGGCATGACTCGTGGTGAAGTTAATCACTCCATGTTTTATCAATATTTTGCATCTAATTTGTGTATATATTTGGTGGTTTAAGTTGACGTTATCGGTATCACCGGCAATGATCAGGATAGTATCAGTAATTTGAAGTAAAATCTCTTTTAGTATTTCCAAACTAAAGACCTCGACAGACTGAAGTATTTTCTAGGTATTGAGGTTGCTCAGTCTAGATTAAGTATTGTTATTTTGCAATGCATGTGTGTGCCTTGCCCATTCTGTAGGAGACAAGAATGATGGGATGTAGATCTATTGACACTCCTATGGATCCCAATGCTAAACTCCCGCCAGGACAGGGGGAGCTACTCAGCGATTCTGGAAGGTATAGATGGATAGTGGGAAAGTTGAATTACAGTGACTAGACCTGACATCCTTTTCTTGTGAGTCTTCCAAGATAGTTTATGACTTCCCCTGTAATAATCATTGGGATGCAATTGTTCGTATTTTGCGATATATAAAATGAGTTTCAAGTATAGGACTACTCTTCGATGATCGAGACCATAAGCATATCATTGGATATATAAACGAGATTGGGCAAGATCACCCGTTGATAGACTTTCCAGGTTTGGATATTGTGTTTTAGTAGGAGGTAATTTGGTATCCTGTAAGAGTAAGACGCAGAGTGTGGTTGCTCGATCAAGTACAGAAATACAATATCGAGCAATGGTTGTAGCAACTCGTGAGCTAGTTTGGATTAGAGAACTAAAATTTGGAGAAATCGACCAAATGGAACTTGAGGGTCGATATACCCCTGGTGAGAACGGAACTGGTGGATTTTATGACAGACCATTCCATTAAATAAAAAGCATTTCACGGTTTTACCCACCCCGCTCTTGCTTTGTAAAATTTCCATTTCCACTAGATCCTAACATCCTCCTTCCTACCTAATCATGATGTATATTGATACAGTTGGATATCATAAAAATCTCTAACTAGAACCCTAGATTCTCTGATACCATAAACTAGCAGCCAAAGGAACATCGAAATTGACGAAGAATTGTATCAGAGTACATGCATGACGGCTTTATCGGTGCCCATAAGCATTAATTAAGTATTTTTATGGTTTATATCTCTTATCCTGAAACTCCATTGACAGAGTGAGCATTTTCAATTGAGTAGAAAAGTTATTTAATTCACTAAACAATCGAAGGTAAAACAGAGGGGGCAAAAGAGGGAAAGGGAGAACCTGCACCTTCTCATTGTCTATCGACATTCTCCGTTGTTCGCCGTCCATCGTTGAATCGCCGGAGATTCCGAGAAGAGTGAGACTGGCGCCGTTGAGGGGAAGAGTGGAGAACAACAATGAGCGTGAGTTCTGACAGCAAAGTGAATATAGGGGTATTTGGTGTGAAGGCGTTTTGGCATTTATTTGGTGCATAAAATCTCGACTAACTCACACTCGACACGTGTACAATTTTTTCAAAAATAATTTTGGAAAAAATTCATAAATATAAAATAAAAGTAATTTTACCTATACCAAAAAAATAGTTTAAATTTAGTGATACAAGTAACAAAAATTGTTTTCAATAAAATGATTGTATGTATATATAATATATCGATATTGTACAAATAGTATAGACTCGTGTATAGGTAATGTATAACTATATATTAGAGATGTACATTGTTGATACAATAAAGTATATATTGCACATTGATTTTTATTCAATCTCAACCTCTCGATGTATTGATTCGTTTAATATATTATTCATGTTTGCGGCAAATCCAACTCGTGATTTTTTTGTTAATTATGCAAGATATGAGAACTTTTAAATCATGATTTGGCAAAACATTGTAGAGATCTTTTTCATGATAATTAGTTTGTGTATATTTCATTGATAGACATTCTTTCTTTCAAGAAGCTAGTTATCACTAAATAAGTAAAAACTATCATTGTTTTTACATGTTATGTACTGCACAACAAGAGATGAGTTCTATGGATTAATTCATTGACAAATTCTTTATAGCCACCTAGATGATCTGAGGAATCTTTTACAAAATGTAAAAAGATACAAATTCAAAAGAGTTAAAGGAATCACGTGAAAGAGGAGCGAGGGATCAAGGATTAATAAAATTATTAGATATTATGATAATGAACTAATAGTTGGGCTAAATTGGTTCATACAACAATCGAATAGTCATTTTGAGGAGTAAACTAATAATTTGGCCAATATGATTAGTAAAATAATCAAATAATCAATTCTTTTTATTTTCCCTTTTTCAAGTTTGGATGTAGCAAAAGTAGCAAATTATGACTCGTTTAATTTGTTCAGGTTGAGGTTGATTATTGAACTGTTTATTTATTAGCTCACACATTTTAGTCCATCAAATTTTTGGACTAATATATAATCCAGAGTTTAGACTAATTCATAAAAAAAAAAATCAATTTTTTTTATTTAATATATTATACACAACCATAATAACAAAATATTATATTTTTACAAGGTACTAAAAATTATCAAAACAAATAAATAACTAAAATGTAGCAAAAATTGGGTGAATTGAGTTATGACCCCGCAATTTATTTCGGTCCAAATAAACTTTGGAAAAATTCGACAAATGTCATTTGGTCAAAATTTATCTCTAAAATAACTCAATTATCATTAATTACATAAAATGGTCATTTGTCCACTTTCAATTTTAAACGCAGTAATTTTTTGCTTCTACTTTTCCTTTCTGCTTTGTCTTCTTCTTTCAGTCATTAATGACTTCTCCCTTCCTTCTTCTTCTCTTCCTCCTTATTCTTCCTTCCTTTCTTATTTATTTGTTGATTTCCTTCTTCCTTCCATTATCCTCCTTTTTTTCTTCTTCTTATTGTTCTCCTTCTTCCATATACAAATCTTGTTCAATGCTCGATTTTAAAAATTAACGTACCGTAAACATGAATCGTTTTGAATGAATAACTCAAAATATTTAGATGAGTTTATATCTGAATTTTAGAACTGTTTAGAGAAGATTTGAGTTGGTTGGAATAGAAAAAAAAGAAAGAGAAGGGTTAACTACACAAATTCGACTTATTAGGCAAAGAACTTACTCAAATTGGACCTAACCCAATATATTTACCCTGATTGGACCCACGATCAAAAATATGTACCCGACTGCCTCCTTATTCTATTAACTGAACCTCTGCCTCTTCATTCCTTATACTATTAGAGTATATATATACCCTAATGCTATCAAAGAGTAATTGAGTAGTGTTTTCACTAAGACACTACTTCTTCCCCTTTGATGTCATTAGTAGTTAAAAACATAAGGTATAAAAGTAAGGGGACACACACACTTGTAAGTAGTTTCGCTTTTGGGGTACAAGTGTTTGTTTGTAAAAAAAAAAAAGAATATGCAATGCATACTTTATTATATCAATAACGTATATATATGTATATCGTCTATATAAATTGTACATTATTTATATAGTATCAGTATATTATATACACATATCGATATATTAAATATATATACGATCATTTTGTTGAACATAATTTTCGTTGCTTATACCTACAATAGTCAATAGCCCTAGAATGAATAGGGAATAGAAAAGAATTGGTAGAATGGTTTAAGGGAATATACATAAATAGATAAGTCAATCAGTCAAAAAAATTGATTACTAATCTTAAAAATACATGACTACACACAGGAAATGATCCATCATCAGTTCCTCAACTACTATAAAAAAAAGTTTAAAGCATATAATTGTATGCTCAAGTTACATTGATTTATGTGTATCTTCATTTATTTTTTTTGGTGCTTCTTCATTTACAATTGAGCTTGAACTCAAAATCATGCATATACATTGCCAAAACATGAAAGTATATAATCCTGCTCCATTTAAATCATGTCTTCTTCTATGCAATTTTTTCTTATTCTCCACAAGTCGCTGCACACAGATTTAATTAATTGCCTAGCCATAATACATGCATAAATCATTTTTTTATCATGTTGAATAGAATTCTTCATTTTTGTCATCTAGTATAGTTTAGTTCTCTAATAATGAACTTCAATATATGCTCTCATGTAATATATATGTATATATATTTGTCATGACTTTTAGAAATAACTTGTTGAATAATCATTTTGATAGAGAAGAAAACTTAAGTGAAAAAACATGTTTGCTGTTGCAGAGAGAAATAAATAGTCCGCAACTTAATCTGTCGTATTCACTGTTTGTTTTGGTTTGGTAGGGAGCGCTTTCCCTTCTAATGAAGCCTATGCGGTGTAGTTTCGGAATAGTTGGATCGAGTTTCAATATGGATATCGAACATCGGATTAGAAAAAAAAATAGTTGTGAAATTTTGCAGAATATATTATTGTTGTAAGGTGGCAACTTACTTCTCGATATATTTTTTGCCAAGCATTTGGTTTTAGAGTTCCAAATATTTCTTACTAGCTCCACAATCAAATATTTAATAATTAAAATTTTAGCTGATTTCAAAGTCTTAATATAAGAATAACAATTAGTTCAGGAAAACAATATTATAAAATCATTTAACGAAGAAAATAATAGTAAGGGTGCTCATTCTGATATAGATAGATTAATGATTGACAAATTATGACATTATATATTTTCACTGCAACTGTTTGCTACACATCAAAAATAACATAATGAGTAGTTGTTCCTACTGTCACATACAAGCATATCTGAAAGGGAACCAGATGCAGCTGAGTCACCTTTAGTTCCTTCCCAAACAAAGATGAATAAATGATTCCTATGACTTTAAAAGTAACTCTGCCCACCAACACTGAGACCATAGGGGAAAGATACACCTTGAGCATTCATTTACTTGGATAGCTACAGGTGTTGATTTGTACGGTATACTACCCTGTGTTTCTTCACAAAAATATGATCCAAAAAAGCATAAACAAACATAGAGGCCTTGTTTTAGGTAATTACATGTACAAGCCTCGGAAGAAACAAACCATCAACAACTGATATCCATGTCCGAGCTGTACATTCCAGGAGAAGGTTCCAACTGATCATCAATCTGCTTTTTATCCCTGAGCTTTTTGGCCAACTTCTTCTTGTACTTTGCTTCATTCCTAAGCTCTTCCTGTATTTGATCTTGCAATTGATTTCGTTCCAGCTTCAACTCTTCGATTCTCTTCAATCTTTTTACTTTCTCAGGTGAGAGGAGCAACTGTCTTTCCAGACAGATGACTGGAAATAGAATGTATGGTTCCCTGATAAAAATAAAGACAGACATTAATCATTCAAGGCCCAAGGATGTCATGCAAAATCTACTCATCTTTGTGAGAAACAAATAAATGGTAGAGAAGTAGGAAAAAGAAAGTACATACTCAGATCCAACAGATGCAGATACAACTCCATTTCCTCTCATCATTCCACCATCCAAGGAAACCGCACCCTCTTCTATGCAGGAACTTGCCATGTAAAGTTGCTCTCTAGACTTGTAGACTTGAAGCTTACCAAACAGACGATAAAATAATGTCTCTCTTAGACCATGACCTGAAGCAGTTCTAAGCTGCAAATATTCTGCAGGAAGGAATATCATATTAACCGCGTAGCCCAAAAAGCCTGGGGGAGTTTCTCTGTTTGATAAAGTAGGGTGTGGAATAGCAAGTTCTCTTTGGGGATCACTGCTGACTCCTTGCTTATATGGCCTGAAATAAAAAAGCAAGGACCTTACACATTTTTTTTTTTCAGAGAGCACTGACCAGACATGGTTGAAACATGATTTGTCTACTGGATCGAGAAACCAAAAATCCTAACAATTGATATCATTTAGTATAATGTAAACCAGAGAAAGAAAGGCTTTTACCTTATATCCTCAAGGCATATAACCAAATATCGACCCTTGATGGAAATTCCAAGCTTAGCTGCTAATATGTCAAGAGCACTGGCGCAATTCACATTTCCATCCATTCGATAATTTTCAAGAGCTCTGGCAGCTGCACGGGATTTGCATACTACAGCAAGCATCTGATCTTCTCCAAGATATGTTGAAAACATGCTAAGGGAAGAAAACACACTCAATTACATCCATACAGACAAGGAAGTTCTTATACTTCATTTTAAAGAAAAGGATACCAGCACCAACCTGCTAAGCTTATGGGTCCGAACCTCTCCAAGAAGTGCAACCACGCCAAGTATGTCATGAGCATATTTGAGATACAGCTGTTCAGGTTTTGGTGATCTGAGCAGCTTGTGTATAACAGCAGCTGCACTGTCCGCCTTTCCTTCAATCTTCTCCATAATCACGTCTTTATCATAGCCCAAGTCGTGAAAAGAATCAAGACCAATAAAAGCTGCATCCATGACCAATTTCATGTTACAATTTCTAAGATGCATTTAATATGTCTAAAAAGAAGTTAAGACAGTCTGTTGCTACTTAGGTATCACTATTCAACAAGTAACCACATGATCTCTTTCAATTTAACAGATTGTGAAATTGCAAGACTAGTTATAGCACCAGGAACAGAAAGTAAGGAGAAGTTCAGGGAGAACTCCAGAGACATAAGGAACAGAAAAGAAATGTCAGGACTACATTTAAACCATCCAAACTGAAGTAACAGAAACTTGCAAGAGTTACACCATCATCAATTTTTTCTTTTTTCTTTCATTGATCCTCTTCTTAAAATAAGTAAATAACTAGTTTTTCTCCTTGAAAATTGAAACATTGACTTGAAATTGCCAGAGAGATGACAACATGGACCTGGTGCCAGCAATCAATATTCCTACTCTTTGGTTCACTTCTTTCACTCACATTCACACTACGCAATCCTATAGCCATAATAATTACGCAGAGTTAAATCAGAAAAAAAAACACTACTTCAATTACCTCACCTCTATTAGCCACTTCAAAGGCTTATCTTATAAATGAATAAATTTCCTTTCTGGTATTTGTCTTATTTCTTATACAATTATAGACAGTCTGTGTTTAGTCCAGAAGATAGTTTAAAAGAAATGCAGCCTTGTCTGTAAAATCTAAAAGGTTAAGTTCTAGCAATTATACACATGTTGCTCTAGAAACTGGCAAGAGATCACAGAAAAAGCCTTCAAATGATGATCAAATCAGGATGATTCATCATTTATCAGAAATCCCCGATATATTATAGAGTACTCTTTTGAAAATTAATGCAGAACTTTGATCATACATAAAATAAAGAAGACAGTGTGTAAGAACAAGAGCATCTACAATGTCAACATGCTATGAAACTTCCCTCTTCAATTATCGTTTTCAATAATCAGTTGCAAAAAGAAAAAACAATATTGAAATCTTTTAAATTTCACTTTATGGAAAGTCACAGTCAGTTTAATAGATTTTTCGGTGAATATTTCACAGTGCTGCATTAACACCATATTAATTTGTAGAGACAAACTGAAAGCAAGCAAATATAGCAGAATATATAACAGATGCAATCTCCGCAAATAGTAATCTTTAGGTTTGAAGCTACAAGGTTCAAGATCATGATTCAAAGAAGAAGTTACCACTGCCTTTTGCATGTGTCCCTGGAATTTGAAAAATATTAAACATAAAGAAGAGATAATAAGTTAAGAGATGGTTACATGTCAAGATATCTCTAATTAACACGTTTAGATCGTGGCATCTAATGCAAACATGCCAAGCAGTTGGTTTGACATAGGCATGGTTCATGATGCACATAACATTGCTTTTTGATTTCATGTGCCAGTTAAATAATTTCCGGACTACATAAAGCCAAACCACTGCAGCAACACAGTAGTATGACAGAATCTTGATAATTATTATAGAAAGCTGAAGGCATGAGGTGTAGACAGTAATGTAGCATACACGCATCAGATGAATTAATACCTCCCAAGTTGGACATCTCAAGCTCAATATTTGATTGCTTAATATTAAGTGACTCCACATTAGCATCGCATCGTCTGATGCATAGGCCATATCTGCAAATATCATCCCCAAGTTTCTGTCGAGAAACACACTCAAGTTTAGTGACAGTCTACATAGCAATAAATGCAGCAATGAGAGATAGCGAACAAGCCAAAAAAGAAAGATAGATATGTGTCATTCATGCAGGACCTGCTGCTGCTACTTCTAGTCCTTCTATTACTACTATTACTACACCAACTACTACTACTACTACTACTACGTGGAACAAAAGCCAAAGACACTTATAGCACTTGGAGACATACATTAAAATGATCGGCCAGATCCATCAAAAGATGTGTTCCAACCTTCACACATTCAAAAAAAGACCATTCTTCCCTCCACCAAAGAAAAGAATATTAATGGTCTTGTGAGACTATCATTTTGATACAAAAACACATACCTGTAGTCTGTCTTCCAGATCCATGGAAGCACATGAATCGTTGAAGATCATTATTCTTCCATCAAAGGTGTTATGACACACCGTTTCTGGCCCTTTACCATTTGAATCCTCATGAAGCAGAATCTCTTTCTTGGGACTTCTAGGTTGGGTAAGTTCATGTGTACGGATTACAGCTTTCTCAACATGCACCTGCAGATAGAAGTATGAGGCCGTGATACCAGAAAAATAGAAAGGTAAGTCACCTAGAATACAACCTCTATGCTTGTCTGCAACTCGTGGAAACGAGAGTGACTAGCTACAAAGCAGAAAAGCCCTTCATTATCTGGAAGAGGGATAGAGCGGACAATGCAGCGTCCATGATGGAAGCTGTATCTCACATTGTCTTCTTCCCTCAATGAGTCCTGCCTTATCAGAAGGGTATGAGAGTGGCCATCTTCCACTTCACTATCGATATCTTCATCCACTTCACCAGCAGAATTTATAACCTCAAAAACAACATCTTCCAAATGAGAACCAGCAGCACAAACTTTAGGTACCTGATGTAGGTTGGGTGCACTTTAATTATTAAACCATTTTATCATTACCATAACAAACAAACAGTTCTCTATCCCATAATTTTTGTCCATCTTTGAGACTTCAAATTCTTAAAGAGACATGATTCAAAATGTCAAGAAACTGAAAAGCCAAGTAATTTCCAGTTTCAAAGATTGAGAAATTAAATGTTATTGGCCCCACTCTTCTGTATGTTAAGGGAAATGCAAGAAAGCAAAAAACTCGTGCAAAGTTTGTGACACAGAGAAGTTGAACTATTGGCAAAACATATAGGATATGAGGAGTATTGACAAACCTTGGATGCAACTCGCAACGATCTCCTATCAGTTTGGAACTCTTTCTTGAAAACTACTTTATCGCCAGACAAAACAGAAAGGGAAACTGTGGATAGAAAAAATAGGTTAAAAGATTGGGGACCATATTATCTAGATATTCTTCAAACACCACTTTCTCCACTCTTTCATTGCCCACCAAAATAAAGGGCCTTAACACAGATATGGAAAAAACAAGTTGTGTTCTTGTGGATACTTAATGGTAACTCCATCTTTGTTCTGCAAAGTACATAATTCAAGAGGTTTAAAAGTCGATCAAAAAAAAGTTATTGGTTAAAGGGCAGGGGACCATATGATCTAGCTATTCTTCACACACCACTTTCTCCACAACATCACTGCCACCAATACAGAGAGACCTTAATACAGCTATGGAAAAAAAAAATACTAAAGTGGATCCTTAATGATAGCTCCCTGTTGGTTCTGCAAAGTACATAATTCAAAAGGATTAAAGGTCTTCCTTTTCAAAGGTTATTCCCAAAACACATTGGCTATTGTCTCCTTGTAAGTTCTTGGCCAATCTCCACCCTCATGAGAGCTATTTTTAGGGTAGAGGCCCAAGGTCCAATTTCTTAACATGGAAACAGAGCCACGTTATGTTGTCCATGCTCGATTTCCAGCCGCCAGTGTGTGCATGTGTTAAGTGTCCTAAATTGGTAGAGAAAATGAGTTGTTGTTTCTTTCTATGATCTTGGATAATCCTCACCTCATGGACTAGTTTTTGGGATTGAGTTAGACCCAAAGTCAATTTTAACAGTTCCACTAAGAAGTTCCAGTCAGTATAGACAACTGGAGTTACTGCAGAAGCAAGGTTACCAGAACTCAGCACATTGCTATGCAGTAATACTGTTAGCCTGATATACTTATGCCACCACAAAAAAGTTACGCAGATGATGAATCTTTGTACATGACAGTAGATAATAAACACAAAACCTTTATTACTGCAGCATTGACGTTATGTTGAAGTACATACCAAGTTTACCATACCCTGCTGTTACTTTCAAAGTTCCACTAAGGTTAACACACCCATGATCATCAACCTACATCACGAAATCTCATGAATGTAAACAACTTGAAAGTTGAAAATAGCAAAATAATATGGAAACAAACAAGTTTAAAAAACCTTAGACATCAAAAATCAATTGGCATGCACCAAGCCACCAACCCAAATAAAGGGGCATTAACTAATCCACGTGACTCAAGGTGTAATATTTAAAAACTTTTGTGCGTCTATGTGCAAACGAACAAGTATACAAGTTACATAGTACAATAGATGGTACAGCTAGAATAATTCCTAATTGGCTCAGACCTCTTTGAAAATATCTACTTTTTTAATTTTAGCTAAGCCCCAAAAATAAATTTATAAAGGAACCATACCAAACCCAATAACACCTTGATTGGTCTTAAACCAACTATATTATGATAGGTCAAACTTGAAAAGAGTGATTCCCGATTTTTGGACTTTTTTGTCAGAATACATTAGTCATCTTCAAACAATAAACATTTCTCTCCAAGTATCATCATATAAGGTCCCCACTTATCAATGGGCATTTGAACATTGATAAGTTACCAAGTGAGACCATGGTCTCCAATGGAATTTGTCTGGCAATGATTAAACTAATTAAAGCATAAATTAGGAAGAGAACATTATGCTTATCATCTGTAGTTTTATTTCTTAATACAACTGATTTTTTGAAACTTCTTGTCAGCTCAGAAGTATGAGACACTTTGAAATGACCCCAAAACACAAATCTCGATGTACATAATCAGATCGAACAAGTCAAATAGGAAAGGCAATATTTCTCACTCTTCAAATTGCTAAAAAGATGGTAATAAATGAAGAAAAGAAAGTGTAGACTATCTTCTTAAATGTGATTTTCCCTCTAACAAACTAGAACAATGGATGTGACGCCCCAAAAGAAAAAGAAAACCACCTTATAAAAAGAATCTCCTTTATCTAGTAAATGTAATCCTTCCAGCGTCAGCTTGATGTGCTCATCTTTTCTCATATGGTTACCATATTTGTCAAATGTCTGTATCAAATAAAATAAAATAATAATATACAACCAGACAAAATGCAAGAAAAGAAAAAGAGCTACCAGGAAAGCCTACTGGAGCTACATACACTAATAAACCAGAAAACAAGAATAAACAAGTGGGACATGAGAGATTTTTTCCCTTCAGCAAAGAAGTGAACAAGATATTATTGTTTATCAAGCAGCTGTTAAGTTAGCTATTGTTGCTGTCAGCAGCAACAAGCATATGCTCCTTTTCATATCGTACACAGTCATTGATTGATTCTTGTGATGCAAGATTGCCATTGTTCCGATCAACATTGATGTATAATTAAGAAAACATGCAGTATGCTGATGCAAAATGTTACAATTGGTTGATTTGTACAGATTTGCTTAGAAAATCGTACTTTGTAAACTCTGTCAAGGAAGACAAACAGGCAAGTAATAAGCAAGATAATTAAGACAGCCACATTGATTCCAGTGAGCAGAAGACTAAGTTCAAAACCGAACTGATCAATCCTATTCTTGTGAGATCCTTTACCATTTTCAGGTCCCATTAGTTTCGGTTAATATCAATCCTGTAGTAATTATTAGAGGATATAGCAATGCTCATTGACAAAAATATGGGACACTATAATACGTAGATTAAAATCAAGGATTACGTAGATTAAAATCAAGGATTACTGTATGTACATTTCATGGGAAAAAAGGAAGACTGTATTGACCTTTCAAGGAAAAAAGTAAGGGTGAATATATAATGCACTATCAAGGAATGCTTACCGGTCACAATGAACTTATGTAAAACTGTCATACAGGGAAGCAAAAAGTGGAGTCACTAGAGCTTGCTTTGAGCAGCTTTGGTCCACATGTGGTTGCTTTTTGTGTTAAACCACTACCACAAATATCATATCCTTTAAAGAAGGAGAAAGGAATTTGCACTCTTCATTTAAACTCAACACAGAGATGCAACATAAAAGTAATCATCATATTATACTTCTCATCAAAACCTAAAAAACAGGCACTTGGTTTATTCCATCATAACTCTTTTGCAATATTCCACTCTCCAAGATGATTGGACCACCAAAGACATCAAAAAATCCAATCTTCTGGTACTAGCATTGTCTTCTTTGGCTTCCTGATTGTACTATCCTATACCAGACCTTTATTTTCTAAAAATAAATTGCATATTGTACATCTTTTTTTAAATGGTACCCTCTTTTCTCTCTATTCCAAAAAAAATCTGATAATACACTTGTGAAAAAAATTCTGTTATTATACTTCTCAAGGACACAAAACGATACTGTAGTTAACAGTGTTTTTCACAATTTCAAGCATGAAAGGATTTTAAAGAACAATTCACTGGAACATAGATCCGTGTCTTGATAGAAATGATGAAATTTGCTTCATGTGACACTCGAATACATCTTATGGTGATAGTAAGATATTGAATTAAAATATAATTAAACAGACCTCAAGAGCAAGCTCCTTAAGTACCATCCCAGGAACCAATTTCTTGCCAAAATCTACAGGGCGCAGAAGGATACGTTGCAATGGTCCTGGAATAACTGTGAACGGAGGGAAAATAAATAAGAAATAACAGAATGCTATATATCTCAAATAATGGACAACAAGATAGTATTAACTACCTGCACATGGAATAGCTACAAAAAATGGATCCTCCTTTGAATTTATATGTAATGTAGCTTTATAACTTGGTCGAATCATATCCAATTCACTACTTTCAATGGTTACATTCTGTAGAGTGGAATTTTTTGACACAGTTATTCATTCAAGAAGATTTGCTAGGTGTATTGAAGAGGACACGAAGCAGGAACATAAAACGTCACCTTAAACTTCATGGTATATCTGTCATGTGTAATACATTGGTCATAACTGCATTCGGATGAAATAGCTCTGCCGCCAGAACATAACTTCATCTCTATCTCTGTCTGCGACTTGAATGGTATACGATTGCAGAATCTATCACAACAAGCAACACTGAAAACCTCTGGAAAACAAGAACCAACCCTGCCAAAGATACACATTTGGACAAAATCAAACGTAACTTTGACAAGAAGGAGCAAGACTTGCTTATAAACAGGTGAAAGAAATAGTCAGCTTGTCTTTAAAAAAAACAGATGCTGATTCTCAATTTCTAATAAATAAGATACTTAAGGTAAATGGAGAAAGAAATATATGTTGCACAACGCTCTTAAGTCGTACTGAATAATTGGTGTACAAGTTTATCCAAAATAGCTTCACAAACATTAGAAGGAGGCATAATTAAGGAAACAGCTCAAACATCCTACTGATGATTATGAAACTACTTTGTGATTTAACTATGACACGAAAAAGATTATTTTCTATTTCCTATACATCTCACAGCTTGATAAAGTTCTTAATGGACTAAATGAAAATCGATTAATTCATAGACTGAATGCATAAGAATTAAGAGAAATGAGCATTCAATATTGTTGAAATCCTAAAATTTAACAAAAATCTCTTCTCTTACAGCTAAAACAATAGATGAAGCAATTCAGAAATTCAGTATATAAAGACGTCTTGAGTTCTAATCTCACTGCCAACCATCAAGAAAAATATTTCTATGTGCTTAGCCCAAGGAAAAGAGTCAGCCAAAGAAGCATGTTGAAGAACTAAAATAAACAAATAAAAGAGACATATCTTTAACAGTGTTATCGTTAAGATAAGGCAGTTCTCCTCTATCTTTTTACCTCTCTTTTGCTTTTATCAGTCTAGACATTTCTCTGTTTACAGAAAATAGCATATTTTGTTGATTTAATGCAGGGTGACTAATTACTTTCTCTGTCCTTCTGATGATGTTTCCTTATAATTTCAAGCTTAAGTATTGTTTGAAAATAAAGAACATCAAAGATAACTCGCGTATATATGACAATCTTATGACTCGGTGATGGACATTTTTTCATTTTGCACAACTTATATAAGAAGTTCATTTAGACTTGAGAGCCCCACCTTACACTGTGTGTACTCTTCCCATCACTTACAAGTTCCCAACTAGCAGCCTCAGGCAATGCTTTCACGCGCACTTCTTTTACAGAAATTGTACGACTTTCTATCTGAAAAGAAGAGATCCAACCGCAAGGAAAATCAAGTGAAATACATTATTCCGTATATATTAAAATGGAGATATGCAGATCATATAACTTACAAGAGAAAATCGAAATAGATAAATGCCTGCTTTCTGAAAAAGATTTGGTGACTTCTTCTTCAGGGGGAAAATATATAAACCATGAAATCCTTTAAGCGATGAAGGATTCAATTGCCCAGAGTAAATATGTCGTTCTTTCTCATTCTCATCTGCTTTAAATTTTATCTCTAGAGTCATCTCAAAATTTTCTTTCATGATGTATTTCTGATCCAGATTTTTGTATGCAGTAACAGAACTAAAAGAAGCTGGACGAACAACTGCAGTAATCTCCTCTGGAGGTTCATGTCCAGCATCAACATCCTGAGGTAGCGCCTGCCATTGCAACCAAATGAAGCAATTCAATAAAAACATATTAATATGTGGTACAATCTAAGATCATACACAGCTGAAATTTGATCAAGTTCGAAGATATTCAAAGCATTAAGCACAAGAAACTTAGAAGGAAATGGAGAAACATGTTCCACTTGATACACACGCACAACAATTTCTACCAGGCTGAATAAGATGAAACCCTGTAGACCTGTTCAGGTTAATTTCGATAAGTGAAAAGACTACATAATCTGACTTGGATCCCAAGTAGATGTAGTAAACGAATCTATAGAGTACGATAAAAGAAAATTAGCAACTAATCAGAGGATCACCTATGTCAGTTGGTACTTTATGTGCAAAAGATCGGGAGAGGATGTGGATCACCTTTGATTACATTGTCAGGTTGCTTCAAGGTTATAGTGGGTGATTCTTAGATGGGTTGGACAACTGTGGATTATGCTGGGGACAATAAAGGACGCTTTGTTCAGTGGGACATTGTATTAGCTTTCATGTGGGTAGTGAGGAGAGAAAGAAAAAGAAGAGATTTTGAAGGAATTGAACATGAATTTGTACATGAATAATAGCCCTCATTTCTTTTTTGGTGCATACATGAGATTCCCATCTGTACAATGATTGGATGTCTATTGTAGAGAACAATTTATTTTTGTAGGTTCCTTTTTTGGTTGGTATATATCTTATATACAAGAGTTTGTAGCTTTTATTAATGAAATTAGTCCTTGATTTTTTTTTAAATGGACGAAAAATAAACAAGTGGTTAGAAGAAGCAAGCTGTTTTGTTAACTAACCCCCTTAATGTCCAATTCCTGACATTGCTCGGCGTCCAATATATCAATTGATGATGGAGTGGTTTTCTCTTGGTGTTTCAAAATTTGGTTCTCCCATTCTGTATTATCAACAGCTAAGCACTGCAAAAGATGACATTAATTCTTCAGGAAAGATAGATATGTAGAGAGAAAGAAAGAGAGAGAGAGAAAGAGAAACATAATTGAGCAACAGAAAATATGATAACCTTTCCAGCGTCAATCACACTAATCGGAAAAGATTTTGAATCACGGATTTCAAAGCAAGCACATCCTTCATCAAATGTGAGGCGACAACCACTCTCAGCAGGGACATGTAATGGCCTGTAAATGACATGGTAAAGACAATTTTTAAGGTAACACTGGTTGAAGGAGGGAAACACACCATGAAAAGTAGTGGTATCAGGTATGAAATATAAGGAGTGAATTGCAAACCTGCAGATGATTCGAGCCTCCCCTGAAACATATTGAGAAAAATGTTACAACACCAAGCCAATGTCAACAGATAGTACCAGTAGAAACTAAGCTAGCGTTTGGCCATAGATTTCCAAATATTTTTGACAAATATTATTTAGGTGAAATTTGGATGAAATTTCACCATGTGTTTGGCCGTAGTATTTGGGAAACATATTTCATTTTTTTTAAGAAATATGATTTATACCCATAAGTTTTACAACCCATCATCACTTCCACAACAAATCTATTGGATCTTCGTTGCAACAATTAACAAGTAGTGTCCATGACATTGAAGGAATGTGGTAGTTCGGAAAGTGCAATAAGCATCATTCCATATATTGTGCAGTAGACGAAGCACATGACTTTGTTAACCTGAATCAATTGTTCATCTTTTCATCACTGCTTTGGTGTTTACGTAGAAAATTATGTAATACAACGCAAACAACTACTGTAGAGGATGTTTTTGTAAAAGATAAAAGTTTGGTGTAGAATTTGATTTTTTTAAAAGCTCCCAAATAATGAGATTTAGCCCAAACACTAGTTTTTTCTAGTATTTGAGAATTTGGGTTATTTGCCAAAAATATTTGTCAAATAATGACAAATAGTATGGACAAACACTATTTGTCAAATTTTACTTGGAAAATCTATGGCCAAACAAGTCCTAATTACCAACCCACAGGATTAAGCATACAAAAGGGCATGCTTCATGAACCATATAAAACTTACCACCCGAGTCCCCCTGCCATCCTTCAAGGATAATAAATTCCAACGTGGCGAAAATGTTGTTCTTATGGAAACCCCTACAAGCTCCCTTCAAAATTTTAATCTTTTGCCCTGCTTTCCAAGTTATGCCTTTCCTCTGAAAAGCCTTGTGAATTCTCAGAACTAAAAGACAAAAACAGGGAAACAACAATGAGTATCAATTGTAACTGAATCACAATCTTATATAAGGTTGTAAGAATTTATCACAAGGTTCCCTATTTTGTTTTTCAATCTATACCATCTGCAGAAACGCCAAGCTCTTTCTTGTGTGAAGGGCCAATTACAAAAGTAGGTTGATCCTCTCCACAGTCAATCTCCTCGTCATAGCGATCATGCATCTGAAGCAGCCAGTCCTGATATAACTTCTCCAATTGCAAGAGAGACAACTTCTTCCCATCTTTGGATATCTCAATGAGAACATCTAAAAAGGATTTGAAACATGAAGGAAAGAAACCTCATTGCATAATTGTGGGATATCATTTCAACAGTGCGCAACAAACCATAAGTCATTACCATTCTCTTTATCTGAAGGCTTGTTGCCAAAGTTCCTTAATGCAATGGTGCAAGGATGGTGATGTGCTAAGTCAGTCTGGTAAAATGCATACAGAAGATTTCATAAGATAAAAAAATATATATGGTTGTCCGCAAGGTTGTCCTAGATAAATAGAAGTAGGTGAACGAGCAACAACACCAAATGCACGTTAAGTATGAACTTGATAATTTCTGGTGGTGTTAAAAAAATCAGACCAAAGATGTTGGGAATAGAAAAAATTTGACTTCCTAAGGAACTATTACTTGCATATTTTGAATTCTCTAGTCTACAGAACAAGTATTTCTACTGTTTTCAACATAGTTAGTTCCTCCCTTGATATATAGACATGTATATAAATATTCTCATTTTGCATTCCAGGAAGTGAGTTTCTGTTTGTACACGTGCAATTAAATCCTCAGTCAAGTCGTCAGAATGCATTTAAGAAAGTTGTCTTGTACCTTTGACGGTGTCGGGTTGAAACCAGCATCGGTTTCTGCAAGCAGAATATTGCTCTGTGATGCTTGGAAAAATGACAAAGCAATTGCTTATTCATTAATAAGAGAGCACTTGTTTGGTATAAATGGTTTTATACCTATGAAGCATTTTACTCTAAAGCAGCATCTCTTCAGGACTTCAGCCCTATCACTTTTTCTTAGCTTTGGTTCCATAAAGGGAAGCCAAGACTGAAAGAAACAAAGCAGAAAATATAGTTGACATTTTTTAAGCTTGAGGGTATAATAAAAATAAGGAGAAAAAGTTAAAGATTGGGCAACAAGACAAAGGCAAGTAGTTCATATAGAATAACACAATATACACTGATTCTAGTAAATGACATAAAGATAGGCACACATGTTCTTTCTTTCAAAAGTTTGGAGAAATATTATCATGAAGGTATTCTTTGGCAGACTGTGTAGTGACAGAATACAAGACTGGTGAATTATAATTTGTAAAGTATGAATAACAGAAAGACTCTGATCATACCCAACGAGCATCTGGAAGTAGACGACCCAACCGACGGACAGAAACATGGCTGAAAGTTTCAAAATTCTCGGTAATTCCATACCCATCTGCCTCTAGCTTTTCCAATATCACCTCAATACTCTCTTTACCCTGCAATCAAAAGCATGCAACATCCTTCAAAATGTTTCAAGAGCAGGTTCTTCTTTTTCTTATAAAGTGTAGTATCTGTATGACATCAAAAAGAAATTTCAAGGTTCAATGACACATAACAGAACTATACAATATAGTTTTACCTGCACCATTGGAAAATAAACACACCTCAGGCGAGCATGTCCTTCGAAGGAAGATTTTGTTCCTGAGAAAATTTATCTCAGACTATTTAATGCACTATGATAACAGGATTTGAGAAAAATACTTGGCAGGTGTTTGTCGTGACAAATGATGCACATGTTACCTGAACCAATTTTCAAACTATTGCTATCCTTTACGTGAAAGCTAAGTTGCATTACAAACTCTGGACCATTGCAGGACAGTAAGTTTGTGGTTGCCACCTCTCCACCTTCAATTTCCGCTAAATTAGTGCCATTGACCTGCGAATTTGCATAAGCGGAAAAATCTGCTTAAAAAGAAAGAGATTGTCTACTAGAACAATAATTGGCAAAGGGTACTCTGATTGAGATTTCCCCAAAAATATTAGAATTTGCTTTAATAAAAATTGGTAAAAGAAGCTCTGATTGAGATTTCCAAGAGATTTGACCAACATACCACTTATTTTGTGGTGATAAGAAAACAAACAATTCATAAGTTATGACAGAAACATAAATAGTAGCTCAAAATTCTCACTCAAATGATCGTTTTCCTATTTATATGATCAGTAAAGCTTATCTCTAAGACTGCATGAAAAAGGACCAGGAATTGAACAGCAAGGGCAACTCTTATTGAAATTCATTGAATATTAAAAAAGAGAGAACAGCTACAAGCATCAAACTGAAAGAAAACAACTAGGAAATGCCACATCTGCTTAGACAACTAATTATGTAACAGACAGAATTGAATTTCTTACCAGAAAAAGATCCTTAAGAAATTAGGTATTGATTTCCTTTCCTTTTTAGAACATGTATCACATAGTTATTTAAACATCAATAGCTTGAGGGAATAATCAAGTTGGGTTCTCTCTCAAACTCTCTTCTTTCTCACAGAATAATGGACGAAATCAGGAACAAAGCAGTAAGATAATGGAAAGAACAGGTACTGAGGAAGAGGATGAACTTGGCCAACGTAATTCACAAGTAACAAGATTGGTTCGCGACATGCAAGATCAACACACAACCAAAATACCAAATGATAATGTGGCATGCCAACATAAGAGGTCATGATGAAAAATAAATTCCACATTGGATGGCATTTACACTACAGCTCATTTTTCAACTTTCAGAAAAGACCCGAAAAAGAAACCCTCAACAAGATATAGACATTAACATTGCCAGAAAAAGGTGATGTTTAAGTTGAGGAGTGTAAAAACACATCCATTGAGGAACTCGATGTGATGAATTATAGGAAAAAGAAGCTCCACATTAATTTTAAAGATGAGACGTAGTTCGATGCAATCAGGCTCAGGAAGTAACATGCTGACTTTTCATACTTTTTCATCTACAAAAGCGAAGATCAAGTATGTAATAGGTATACTAAAGTCCAAGGGGGGATTTAAGATGATTCTCAACAAATAGCAATCAATCATCTGATACTGATTGGTATCTCCTGGTTTTCCAACAAGAACACCAAAAATATAAAGGAGTTCCTGAAGTGTACAAAAGTGTCTGGCGTCTGTTTGCCTTTACAAAGACATCAACTGCAGGGATTAATAAAATTATCCCTGAGTTACAACAACATATAGACACTGTACCTGGGAAATTTTAGTAGCTCTGTTGGTTGGCTATCTAAACTTTCACATTGTTGGTGAGAGTACAATTCCCCACCTTGGTGTCTCCTCTCCCCCATTTTCCCTTCCCCTACCCCTTTTAAAAAATAAAATAAATATAGATACTATACCTGAAACTCAATAGGCATCACAGTTTTTCCTGTTTTTGATACTTCATCACACTGCCCAAAGAAATAATAATGAATAAGATACAAAAGGGTAGATGGCACAGGATAAATCATGTAAAGGCAGAGATTATCATCACATCACCACATGCACCAGACTATGCTACCATCATCAGCTACAATGTTTGTTGATCCACAAACCATTTTATGTGACCTTCCAGCTCTCTAATGATTGTCATCCAACTAAAATAATAGTTATACAATGACTATTTGACATTAAATTCTGAAAGTCTGAACAATAACAACTACTATTATTCCTCAGTGCCAATCAGTTGGGGAGAGACCAAAGTTTGACAAGGTCAAGTAAATTCGATACCTGCAAAGTTCATATACTAACAGTAGGAAATTTGTAGTAGCATACACTGAGAAAAATCCAAATAAGAGAAAAGGAGTGTGAACTGTGTAATACAGCAATGCCTGTTCGAAGGGGTATTACAAAAGTTGGAGTACAAATGGAATAGGTAATAAGCAAAAGAAACGAAAAATGATGCTTAAAGCAACAAGTAATAATTTCAAAATTACAATACCCGGACCCCCATATATATACACACACACAATGTTATGAATCAACTTTGAAAGTAAATAACTGAATTGGTCAAGGAGCTGCTACCTCTTAAACCAACTTATCAGAAAAACTCTATAAGCCACTAACCTGTATATACGGGAAGTATATATCTTTCAGTTTGTATTGTAGTTTCTGTACGCTTTCGCTTCTCATCTTTGGATAAAAAATTTCAACCTGTCAATAACGTTAGCAACAACTGTGTTCAAAGCTCATCATTTATACTTTCACTAACAATTCCATACCATGTTTGAAACTGATTTCATGGAAGCATTATCATATACCAAAACAACTAAGCATTTAAAACATCAAAATGCTAAGAGAAGCCTAAAATCCTAAACCATAAACCTTTAACAGTAATAAACATTTGTTATTCATAAAAATAATTTGGACAACACCACAATAACAACCCATATAAAAAAACAATTTTTAATAAAAGGTATGATTATTCAGTGACTTGAGAAAGGCTCAGTATATGGATACAACCTACCATAAAACAATCAAGAACCCATACAGGTTGCAAGAGAAAGTATCTATTAGGATATCAATCATATCAAGCTAAATGTTAGGATGGGAAATGAACTCAAAATTGACTTCATAGGAAGTCAGTCCAAAAATCTACTGTGTAGGAAGATGATACTAAAGAACTTCAATAATCAAAAGATCAGCAAGAGTTCAGAAGAATATTTTACTTTAGTGAAGCTACCATCAACTGAGTATCTTAGTTCATCTTCCAAGGGGTCTCTAACATTTCCATCAGTCTAAATGAAAGAATATATAAACGTAAGAAGATAAGATAAAGAGATAGAACTTATACTAGCAAAAGAAGCAAATGATAAGAAGAGAATAATATTAAACAATGATGAGTACCCTCCAAGTTTGTTGAGACGAAGAACAGCGGAGCAAAGAATCTCTCTCAAGATGTAACACGAATACTTTCTTACACTCCTTTGTCTTTGACGAAACTGAGGCTCGTCTACAGAAAAGGCAGCATGAAAACAAGTAAGTCCTTGCTTTTTGTCTAAAATGAAATCATTCTAAACTTTAGCAAGACATACCGTCCTAAATGCATAGATGCAATAGGCCCTCCATAACCAAACATACCAAAGTAAGGCTGTAAAAGCAACCACCATGTCAGATAACATATAAGCAAAAGTCAGCCAAGAGGATAAAGAAACTGCTAGATATAGAAACAAAATATTGTTGGATTCCCAGTTTGCTGGTTGGATGAATTAAGAATCACATTATATAAGGTAAAAGCAGCCGTGGTTTCTATTAAGAGACAACGAGAATCTGTAGAGAAAAGAGACTAAAAAGGAAGACAGAATTAGTATAAGTTGGTAAGTTTTCAAAGATATATCGAGAGGCATAGTTATATATTCCATTTAAATACTTGTAATCATCTTGTTGCCTTTTTCTTTCTCCCTATAAAAGAGTATTAATTTATGTCTTTCTACTATTGATGGCTAGTGACTATGAATTCAGTTTTTGCCTCCAATAGGTAAACTTGCAACAGAATTATGCAAAGACTAGTGTTTTCTATGGGTAAATTTCACCACCTTCAAATTGACATATAAATTTCCAGAGAATTTCTCACAGCTAATGTAATATAAACTTTACAATGAACACAATTGCAAAGAAAACTAATATCAAAGTGGCATTTGAAAAAGGTATCTACTGATAACTCATTAGCAGATGACTCGTAATAACACCAAGGACCTTCAAGTAGAGGCTGCTCTTCATTAGAAATAACTAGAAACTCCAATAAATATATCTGAACTAATATAGCCTAAGCAGTGATTGTCATTATGTGATTTTTGCCAAAACTGGTGCAATTTTTTGTATAAATACCCGTCCTATTGATCAAGGGAAAGCCAGTCTTGGAAAACAAAGAATTTGAAGACACTATACCTAATGGTAAAAAATGAACATATTCATTGATCATTCAAGATTTTCTGAATCCAATTCAAAATCGCTATTATCTCCTGTTACTTTATTCATTTTTGTTCAAAACATTCATGAGATAACATACAGGATACTTCACAGTGCCAAATTGCAGGGGAATGACAAGACCAAAATCAAACATGAGTTCATTGATATGTAACTGCTTGTCTCTAAGTTCAGGCAGGAACGGTTTCTAGCATAGAGATTTAAAAACTCAACAAAAGCCACAGAAAATAAATATCTAGTGCTGCATATTTGAAATGTATTTCTAATAAAAATCTTTTGACCACAGCTAAGCAAACTGTGTATTGGAATGATGCAACAACCGTTAAGTATGGAGGTTTTCCTCCTATGCCTCTGTCTCTCGATAATCTATGAAGAGAAGCTCCCATTTTTCCCCTGAAACACATACAGCAACACGTAATTGAAAACCACGAAAGTGCAGTAAAATACAGTAGCAGTGACGTAATTTAAGAAAGCAACATCACTTTGCCAAGATGGTTTTAAGATAGAAATAAAGAGAGAATTGAATAGTTGCAGTTAAGGTGAAAATTAATAAAATACATGCAGCTTTTCACTGCACCAACTTTTCAGATCTATTTATCGGATTTGCAGCCAATACAAACTTGGGATACACGGTATCAATCCCTTTCTGGAGTTCTTGAGTGCTACAGAAGTGTTTACATCTCTCATCGCATTGTCAAAGAAGTCACAATTTCTTTTGATATCCTTTTTTCAAAAACAAAAAAGAAAGATTGTCATTAAGCTCATATCTATAACCAGTTGTGTTCCCTCAATTCACGACAAGTTCTTTCAAAACAAAATGATAAGCATCATAACAAATATACCCAACATGAACTTCTTTTTTTAGTAAGTGCAGATAGACCTAACATAATGCAAATAGCAGAAACAAAAACAGGCCTGATTTTTCTGAAGTTGTTATTAAAAGTACGACATATGAAAGCAAAACAATCTATCAATATATGAGAGAGATCGTAAGGCATCATAAGCAATGATCTAAAACAGTTGAAGAAGAGAGAATTTGAGGCCATTCAGAGGAATAGATGTTCATCCATATAACTTACAACTTGAACCATCCAAGACACCAAATTAGACAGATTTCTAGTATTTTAGTGCCAACCTCAAGAGGAAACGCTTATGCAACCCATAAGATGATATCATCATAATGTAGCTCTTAAGTTCACTGATGCTTTAATAATTTTGATAACTGACAAGATCCCAGTTATAACAGAGAAAAGAAATTACCATTTCACTATAGAATTTTCAGCACTTCCATCCATTCCAAGGCCTGTGTCAAATATTGTAATCCTGCTCTTAGTTAGCTCTAGACTGCAAAATAAGAGATATAGTGGACAGTTTCAGGGGAGTATGAAACACGAGCTACAGGTAAATACAAAGAAACAGCCGGAGGTGCCATTCGATATAACACATTATTACACAAGTGAAAGCAGGTAAAAAGAAAGAGAAGTAGGACCAAACAGGAGCAATAACAGGATATCCAATCTTACTAAGTTGTAGGATTACAAATAACTAGAATAGCCGAGCTAAGCAACTACTGTCAACAGCAGGTCAAACAAATAAATGTGAGTACATGCAGAACACTATAAGAATATACCTGCACTATAAGAATAAATTTAACTAAAGAGAGACAAAAAAGAGGCAAGTATCTAACTTTCCAAATATTCAATTATACATCCTTGGAATTCATTGTTATGCTAAAAAACAAAAGGGTCATTTAGTTAAGAAGTTAAATGAAGCGTGAACTGAATTGAATAAGAAAAATTGGAAGCATCCTGTACAGGTAATATCCCAAGAGAAAATGGATATTGTTGACAAGGCACACTTACAAGGTATTAAAATGATCATAAAAGTGAGTTCAAAGTTTCTTGGGGAAATAAATTAATCAATTTCAGGAAAGATTGATGTGTACTTAATTCACTTTCAAAAGATCGGGACACAAACAAGATGACATGTTAAAGAAAAGAGTTTATTTCAGCATGTCGGGATCGCCATTTTAAGAGAAAACTTGACAATCATTCCCCTAATGAAAAATATACATGAATACCCTCAAGTATATTTTGGCATCAGGGAGAAAAATCCTATTTCTCAATTTAACTCAAAAATATGGCTTCCCAAAGTCTTTTTTAAATTAAATTTCCTGACTTGGAGAGCCATCAGTAACAAACTTCCAACTGAAGACAAAATAGCAAGACTTGGAATTAACATTGTTTCCATTTGTTGTTGTTGTGCAGGCACCAATAGAAGAGCAACAGGAGAATCGGCTGAGCACATTTTCTTCTCTGGATACTTTGCTGAACAGATTTGGAGCTTCTATGCAAGAGGTCTAGGCATCAACCCTAGGACAACATCACTGAGGAGCCTTCTCTACTCCTTCTGGAAATATAAATGCAAGAACTCCATAGCTTCGTAAACCACTAAGATAATGCCCCCTATTATTATGTGGGAACTGTGGAGATCCAGATGGGGAGTCAAGTATGAAGATGAAAAACTCTCGATGCATAAATCTATCACTTTGATCAACCTCAGTATCATCCAACACTCCAAACTACAGCTCCCTAAAATTTCCTTCCCTATGATTGGCCCAGCTTTATTCACCTCTTGGGTCTTAAACTGATGGAGACCATCTCTACTACTGTCAAATGAGAAAAACTCCTACATCCTTTTGTCAAACTTAATACTGATGGTTCATGCATAGAAGGAAATTGCGGAGGAGGGGTAGTGAAAGACAAGGAAGGCAAGGTGATTATGGCGTTTTGTATACCTTTGGAAGAGGTGATAGCAACTGGGTAGAAGCCAATGCATTCTTGTTTGGTCTTAACTGGTGCATTCAAAATGGTCACCCTAGGATCATAGGGGAAACTGATTCCCTCTTCCTTCAGAGTTGTATTCAGGGCAACTGGCAAAGCCCTTGGAAAATTGAAGACACAATTAGTAAGATCAAGTTTTTGCTGGACACTCACCATATCCATACCACTCACTACATGAGGGAAGCTAACAAGGTTGCTGGCAAGCTAGCGTCCCTGAGTCACAAGAGTGGAAACAATTGTATCTACACTAAGTATAGCTCCTTACCTAGACAAATCATGGGCCTAGTTAACATCGACAGATGGCAAATACCATCTTTTAGAGTCAGGAACAGAAACCATGGTGTTATTATCTTTGATCCGCCATGAAGAAACAACTCTATTGCCACTTGTGTCCGCCCAATCTTTTGCTTATTAGCCTAAAAGGCTAACATATACAATATGTACTGAAGAAGGCCAGGCCTAGTCCTCCTTCTTCCTCTGTATCCTCTTTGACCGTGGCAATACAATCATGACTCTTTTTTTGTTTTTAAAAAACAAGTATATTTTGGCATCTTTCGAAAAAAAAAAAGTCTTTAGCGAATATACACCAACTCAGGACTTTAATAACTTGCAATTTAAGAATTTGAATTGATTATATAGGCTTTCTTGAGCTATCCAACTACGAAATTCCTTACCTTATTAATCTTCTCTGGTCTGTAGACTTAGGCCATACTGCCTGCAATGAATTATCCTGATACACCATTGAAATGAAGTTAATGCTTAAAATGATCCACATAAATAGAGAAAGTTATACAATTAATCGGAAAAATAAAAGTTATACGCAAAAGATGCTTACGATCAAATCCGCCAGTGCAGTTTCAAATGTATACTCTTCAGGCAGTTCCTTCAACAAATCAGTATCTGGTGTAAGGTCCCACATATTCTGCAAAGTGAAAGCATACACTCAGCTGCATAAATTCTAAACACAACATATATTCTTGAATAGCATTCCACCAACCTCATATTTATCTGCTTCAGCTGAACCATCCTGTATAGAAAATGCAAGTTAAAAAAAAACAACAAATGGGAAAACTTACTAACAAAACAGTTGAGAAATCAAAAACACTGAAGACTTTACATACACAGAGCCTTATCATATGAGACTTGTTGGATTTAAACTTTCTGAAATCCAACATCTTCGTTATCCTGTTCTCAAAAGCATCTACAAAATGCAAATCCTTGCTAGTCCAATTAATCTGTCTTTTAGGCTTAGGTGACTCTGTTCTTCGCCCAAGATTTTGGTATTCTCGCCTCACTAAAATAACAAAATCCTCAACAGGCATTTCACTAGGTGGTCCAGGTACTTGCAACTCTAAAGTTATTCCATTAGGCAACAGAACCCGAAAATAAAAAACTCTTCCTTCATTAGTACCAACTTCTTCATCTGAATCAACTTGGATTCTTAAAACCCTAGATGGCTTCTTTCTCGGCGTTTCAGCCGAAAAATCATCACACTGCCTTTTACTCGACCTGCCACATAACAAAAACAAATACTAGTAAAATTTGATCAACCTTAAACAAAGTGAAATCATCTCAGTTTTTCAGTTCTTCCTATACAAAACAAAAAAATTAACACAGACATACACACATATAACGAAAATGGAAGGAATTAAACATCAATGAAGCAAAATGAACGGAATTTAAGCCGGAAAACGGGAAAAAGAAGAGATTTTGACTGATGGTTTGACTTGAGTCTATATGGATGTTTACTACACGTATGCATGGAAAATGAGATCGATGTATATGAAATTTTTTGTTGTATATATACATATATGTGAAAGAAATCTTTGATTTATGAGACTTACATTTTTATCTTCCGTTGAAGCTAGCGGCAAATGGCGATTTGCAGAAAATGGATACCGGAAAGCTTCGCAGAGAAGAAATTGAAAAAAAAGGGTTTGAATTTTGGGAAAAATGGAGAAGGAATAGCAAAAAACTGAGAAGTGTGGGTAGTTTATACTATCATGCATCAAAACAGGCCTGAAGGGCTATACTGTCCAGGTTGCACAGTACATCTCCATTTTGTCTCATCTGGCGCTGTGAAGAATATTTACTAATATTAGTAGTTTTTTTTTAATACACGATGAGCTAGCGTTTAATTATAGATTTTGAAAATTTTAAATTTCAAAAATTAATATCAAATTTCTTTTTAGTGTAATTCACTTTTACTAATTAAATTTCAGAAGTTTTTTTGAAGTGAAATGCACATTCAAATTTATTTTCGAGTTTCAAAATTTATGATCAAACGAAAGTTATATCAAGCACGATTAGCGTTTGTGTTCTTGTAAATATAAGGGTATCCATTTGGTTTGAGGAAATATAAAAAGTTAAATAGTCAATAGATTACTTTTGAGAAAAGTTACTGTATCATTTATAATTGAACTAAATAGGAGTAATCAATAACTAAGGATTACTTTTGAGAAAAGTTACTGTATCATTTATAATTGAACTGAATAGTAATCAATAACTAAGGATTCAATTAATGATGAGTTATTTTGAATATAAAATGATTTTTTTAACTTATTATAAAAATAAATAATATAAAATAAATTATAATGTACACCCTCCGTTTCTATTTATATGTTACCATTTTCAATGTCACGTCCCTTAAAAAACTAGGTAAGTTCACTATTGTACTTTTATATAGTAGTATTTTTTTGAAGTCAAGTTTTGATAAATGAACATAAATTAATTTATTTTGATTAATTAAATTGACCAATTAACATAAATTAATCATTTAGTTTTCTCATGTTGGTCAAATATATATCTTCAATAATCAAGGTTAATAACTCGCAAAGGTAAAATAAAAAGAATAGTGTTATTTATACATTGATTTTGTGAATTGACAAATATTAAGAAACATCTAATGACAGATAAATAAGAACGGAGGGAGTAGCAGAAAACCTAAAACACTATTCCAACCATTGTAATAGGTGTGACGCCCTTTCTTTTTCTTAGTCGGTGTTGAAAAAAATCATCTTATTATAATTTGAAATAATTTAACTTTAAAATTTCTCTTTTAACCTTAATAAAACCATTTATAACTATACATAAATATTATGTCAAATCAAACGGTGTCACGTGAAATAGGACGGGGAGAGACTATAAAGTTAAAAGAACTCGACTATCTTGCGCCTTTGTCTCATTGAGCACCGGAAACGATCTTACGCCACGTGTCCTATAGTCATTTGGAACTCTTGGCGTTAAAAGTGTGAGTTGGAAAAAAAAAAAGTAAAGTGGGGCCACAGGTAATCTGAGCTGTCAAAACTGACACGTTGATGGACACAGTCCGCTTTTGGCGTATCAGCTTCTCTCATGATTTTAGTCTGTACGTACGTTTCTCCTTCTGTAAAATTTATTACACATCTCCATTAATGTTTTGTCTTTATAATATTTTTTTTTTTTTATTGATCTCAATCGGAAGGGGATTAGAGTTATGCAGATATTAATAATTTAAGAATTAATTATAGATGAACTGATGTATTAGATAAGAGAAGTGGAGGTCCTGTATTAGAATATAAGGCTAGAAGGGAATCAAGAGATAGAGTATTGTCTTGCCATGTAGAAGTTTAGTGTTTGATTGCTTGTTGTAGGATTAGAGGGTGTTTGGATTGGCTTAATAAATGGTCAAACCTACTTTTAAATCAATTTCTTACTTTTGAAAGTGTTTGACAAATATAAAAAATAACTTAAAATAAGTCAGAAACCAAAAGTAAGTCTCCTCCTACTTTTTATTTTTTGACTTAAAACTCATTTCAGTTTGATTTTTTATTTTTGACTTAAAAACTATTTTTTTTAAGCCAATCCAAACGGATTCTTAGCCATGTCCTTATAGTTTTTGTCATGTGTTGTTTATTGCAGTTCGATTAATTACACATTATTTTTGTTGTGGTTACAGTTTTCATTCTTATGCTTTCTCCATTGTATTCTTCTTCTTCTACCTGCTTGAGTCGAATGTCTTTTGAAAACAGTTTTCTCTATCTCTACGAGATACTGACAAGGTTACTACTACTTTATGAGATTTTACATGGTAGTTGGTATGGTGTTATTGTTGTTTATGCATATGTAGAAATTAGTTATTAGTTATTTATGCCTGCATAAGATAATATTATTGATTTTATGCATAATTAATAACTTGTTTTTTTATCAATCTAGAAATGTTGTATAAGTTATAGAAAAAATAATACTCGTAAATAAAAATGATCTCTAATAATATATTCACCGTAATTTCACAAGTGCAATATGAGAATAATAGAGAATATACAAATATTTTATTACTATCTTAATGAGGTAGAGAAGTTATTATATAAATACCCTCAACTTAAAAATATATTGTCAAGCATAATTTCAAGAATAATATGATTTGTTCTTTTAAACTATTTTAGTATCTAATAAAATTATATTTTTCTTTATTATGACTATAAATAACATATCAAATTGAAAAAAATAATTTGACAAAATTTGTCATGAGCTAATCCGAATTACATATCAACCCAATTTTTAATAAATTAAAATGAGATGAGCTAATGAATGAGCGGGTCAATAACCAACCTAAACTTAAGCCAATTGAACAGATTAGACCGACTGTATTTGATTTTTCCACCCTATTTCCGGCCATTGGTGACCAAAAGTGATGAAACTATTTTGTAAGAGCAAAATTTGAAGTTGAGAAATTTACCCCCATTTATCACAACCTACAATTAGTATCTATCTTGTAACTTTAAATTATTACTTAAAAAATAGTATCATGAGTGATATCTAAATCATGATGTAATATTTGTAATCATGACAATTAGATGAAGCTTACAAGCTATCCTATCAATTTGTCTTGGTATTCACAATGTACAGATTTTCAGACAATTTTTTTTAATTAGACTTGCAAAAACAAATTTCTACACAAATATCAGAAATGGAAATAAAATCAAATTACCAACACAAAAAAATACCATCCTTTTACGCAAATCACCCAATAATTTCTCATTTATCTAGCTGGAGAAAGTATACATCAACTTAAAGGTTCTTTTTTATGATCACCAGTCACCACATGCATGATTAAAGCATTATAATTAATTTTTAATGTCACTATAAGTCTAATAAATATTCAGTAACAAGTCATACAATACAAAATAATTAATGCTTTTAAAACTCATTACCTCCCACAAAAGGCAATTGTCACTACCCAACTATGACATTAATGTTTTCCATGGAAAACTTTTCCTAAGAAAACATTGTTTTGAAAAATAAATGAGTTTTTTTTATGGCTTAAATTTAACTCATATACACAAATAATATTAGATAAAAAAAAATTCACTATGAGATTAAAAGAAAATTAATATCCAGCAATAATCTCTCTAAAAAAGTGAGATTCGTTTCTTAAAAATAGAACAAGTACTTGATACAACAAGAAAAAATAACATGATTATATAGTAGTCATAAGGGGTACTTCGACTTTTTGTCCTACATGTTACTTTATAGAGAGTGAAACCGTTCTAGTTGGATTTACCTTTGGGCTTAAATATCGATTCAAAAAACTAGTTGATAAAAATTATTTACGTTGTCGATGAACATTAATTAAACCCCATTGCTCCTTTTGTCTCAATCCAACCTATTTGCTTCCCAAAAAGCCAAACTGGTACCAAAGCATCATCATCATCATGATCAAATGGTTGTGCCTTTGGGAATTCTTGTGTGTCCACTTCATGATCATCAATGGTTTCTTCTTGTTCATGATGATTGAGTGCTAAATTCATTGGCATACCATCAATATTCTTCACCACATCAATTACAAAGGCATTGCAATTCTCTTTTGTTCCATTCTTGAATTCACACAAGTTGAAAACGATTGTATCTTTTGCTCGTAGACCTTTATCTTTCACGAACTTATTCCAACCTTTTGTGAAAACAAAACTTTGACTACTTTTCCAATAACAATACCTGAACTTCCATAATCTCCTTGAGGTATCATAAAAGATCATCTCCTCGTCTTGGATTTGGGGAAAATACTTTGTTGCATATTTCTTTGGAATCACAAGCCTATTAAGCTTTCCAACGTCACTTGGAGTTAGCTCTTTCTGAAAAAGCTGTTTGTAGGAGAATTCAGCATTACCCTATAAGTAATATTGAAATCATGAAATCTAACAAGAGGAGTAAAAAAAAACACAAAATGTTTTACCTATAAAGCTACATTAAGAGAGTATTCAACAATATGTACATGCATTAGACCTATTTACACCAACAGGTTAAAAATATCTAGCTATCAAGTTATTTGCCTTATTTCTAGATTGTAGATTAAGTTATAAGGTATGTATACATCTTTATATGTTATAGCATGCTAATTTTATGAATTATAGAATTTCATATTTTAAGAAGGCTTACTTGTATTCTTTAGATATTCTTGTAGGTGACCTGATAATATACAAAATCTTTTATACTGATGTGTATATAATTTAAATTCTTACGAATTTTTGAACTTCATGTGAAATGTTACCAAAAAGTATCTCTAGAGTGACATGCAACAATAACATGTATAGCCAATGTAATTTCATAAATAGGGTTCGAAAACCAGTGTGTACACTTACCTTACCCTACAAGGTAGAATTATTTTCAATAGAACCCAACTCAAGGTTACAAAGCAGTTCAGAAAAAGAAACAAAAGAGCGAAGAAGTCAAGACAAGAAGCTAAAGAAAACAAGACAAAATATACTAAAAATGGAACAAGTACTATCACAAAGTAATACGATAATCTAAGTGCTAGAAATAGTAAATAGTGATAGAAATGGAATAATAAGAAACTCTCAGAGTAATACTATAACTACCAATATAAAAGGCTAAGTGAGGTAACTCTACTTAACTAACCTTTTATTCTGATCCGTATCCTCCGTAATCGTTATCTAGTA